GCAATGCACTGATGCAGTCGTAATTTGTGCAGCTTCTCTCTTTCAAAAACGGCAAGATCGTTTCGCCTTTGAGACAGACTACGTGACCTTTAAAGCATAGTAATATTTTTTATGGGGCCAACTTAAAGCATAATATTTCAATTAAATAAAGTGGCTTTTGCTAAGATCTAGTATATATTGAGCAAGAAAGACATTATCCTTAAAAAAAGCGAAGACAAAAGATGGCATCCCATCACAAAGAGCCCTCAAATCATTCTTCAGTCAAGTGATAAAAAGCGTTCTGTATTGAATTGAATCTCGTTTTAAAACAAACATATAATGCTTTCAAGGTTAATTAGCGACATATACATTGTTTATGGGGGGAAATTGGCTAAGTTTACAAGTATACAACTCAAATATCACAGAAAAGTTTGAGATCAAATCTCAACCTCAATAATAAATATAATTGGTTCGCTGCATGGTGGAGTATTGCATTGTCGGTATGTATACATATTGATGAATCCAGAGAGATCCAATTTATATATAAACTGTCTCTTTTCCGGTAGATATTGTTTATGTTGCAAGTATTTTATAGTAACAGTGGACGTGGGTGGGGAAGAGAGCCATGGAGAATAAAAGAGGCAACAAAAGGGAAGTAGCTGTCAAGAATGGTTAGGGTCATGACAGTGACAGAGTAATATGTGTATGTATCAGAGTCCATTGAGGAGAGTGCTGGCAATTAAGTTATGGAGGAACCCCAAGAAGAATACGTCCATTTTGTGTTGTTTCTTAAACCCTAATCACATTCACAAGTCAAATTCAACCTCTCTCTGCTTCTGCCTTGAGCCACTCAATACCGAACCTCCCATGCATGCCCTGTCATTTTGGAATCCTCAATCCACTTTCTCCCCCGACTAACAAATCATTTTTCCCGGTTCATTTCAATTACTAATTCCTCATCCGTTGCCATATTTGTTCCAAAACTTAACGGCGCATATGGATCTCACCATATTAAGATGACTCATTTGTACGTATAAATAAATCATACAGTACGTACTATTTATAATCATTACGCTGTTAGGATCCAAAATCGCAGGCATTCAATGTCTTTCATTTCTTAGCCCCTACCGTTATGCTTTCCGATTCCCCCCTCGTTTTGTTGGGATTTTTATCGAACAGTCTCAAAAGCTTAACCTCTTTCATGCTATCATGCGTGATATCATCTGACACATCGTAAGTGGGAAAGAAAAGAAAATTTACTATTTTTACATATATTGACTGTACTTATATCTTTTGTTTTTGCGTGTTCTTGTTTATTGCCAAGGATCAGTTGCCAAACATAAGTCAGCCACTAAGAACTTGGCTTTGACTTGAGATATTAGGTGCTTCGTGGCAGTAATATTGGGTTAATATTGCTTTCTAGTACTTACACATGTTATTAAGATCTACTATGGCAAGAAAAATAATAAAAAAATTGGTATATTTACAGTCACAATAACTCTACTGAAGCCTTTAATCTTGCAAGGAGTTCTCCATATCTCACCTTTTGATTAATATGTTATAGAGGAAATTAGGTGATTTCTCCAATCTCTTCCACAGCCTCCGTGATTTTTTCAAATCCTATATCAGATAACGAAGTTAAATTAATGCAACAACAAGAGCACTACTGGTGTACAGAATATTACGAGAAAGCACGACGTACAATGGCAGTGGAAGAGGAATTCGTGGGCTTGGCTTTGTGGAATATGCCAACCATGAAAAAGTGTCACCCACAGCACCAAACAAGCACTAAATGAAATGGCCGCAAAAGAGGAACGATTAGGGAATGATATTGATGTTGTCCTCAATACGTGGTTATGATTATATGAGAGACAAGTTTAAGCATATATAGATGGATTAACTTGTGTGGCAAGTGGACTCCCTCATATTCAGGATCACTCCCTTCTCTATAAATAACACAGATGAGGAGGCTGATTTTAAGGAAGCTAGTGGTGTTTGTGTTTTCCTAAGTACTAATAGATTTGATTGTCCAGATGAGTTGAAGCATTTGAGAAAGTCCAAAGAGCAATGGCGTTACGTAGAAGACGACATATGGGCAAGCTTGATCCATGTGTAGCTTGCATACACACGGACACCCAAAAATGATTAGTAGTGCTGAGTAATATAATGATAGTGGGACGCGTGGTTTTGATGCTTGGAGCATTGTACTTCCCCTTATGTAGGAAATTTCTTTTTATTATATTTATAAATCATGTTATTAAATTTTTATTATAAATTTTTTTTACCCTCCATTAGATATTGAAAAGAGAAAATATATTAAAGAAGTATACATGTTTAATAGGGGCAAAGTTAAAAATTTATTAAATTTTAAGACAAAGTTAATAAATTTTAAAAATTTTTTTAATATTGATGAAACATGTTAGAAGTGACTTATAAATAAGATTTGATGAGTAATACATAATATTCCATCAGTTTTTATTTGTAGGAAAAAAACTGTATCATACGGTCTAAAAAAATTGATTAACTATATTAATTGTGTTCATAAATAAAAGAATTAAACTATAATTTTTTTATTAATTGTGTTAATTAAACTTTCATGAATTATCTATTATAATTATAAATGAAATTAAAAATGATAGTTTATCTTGCACGTAGAAATGCAGGAAATAGCATAGAGTGTTTGAATGGAATCATTTAAAAAGGGCAACATGTTGTAAGGGTAATTTTTATAATGATTTTATAATTATATTTTTATTTTATTTATTATTTTTTAAAAATGATATATTAAATTTTTAATTATTATTATGAGGTTCTCATGTAGAGTATAATTAAAAAATGAAAACTTTTTCAGGAGCTGAAGATTTTAACTAATATTTAGTTTTGAAAATCGTGAATTAATTATTAATATTCTCATATTCTGCGTCCGCCAAGGATAGCATGAGAAGAGAGGGCAATAAATGCAAAAGCGCAAGAGTACTGAGAAGATTAAAGCCATGCAGGGCCCTCCCACTGCCTCAGTCCCACATTTACTGAACTCACATTCAATTGCACCCGCCCAGCAACGCCTCCCCCTGTCTCCCTCATTTTCATCTCATTCATTGCCACTATTCACCAATTACTCCCCACCCTCTTCATCGTATTATTAACGTGGAACCACAAATCACATTTGATCTAATATATAAAATGCTCATTCCATCTCAAAAGATAATTTTAAATAAAAATTATATATATCAATAAAATTTATTAAATATATTTTATAATTTCATTTTAAATATAAAATTTTAAAAAATACTCTTTATTTAATATTTTATTTATCAAAAAATATTAAAAAAATACAATATAATAGAAAGAGTAATATTGAAAAATAAAATTTTATTTTTATTGTGTTTTATATTTTAAAAGATCAAATTTATTTTTAAAATGTCTTACTCTCTCTGTTAAAAAATGTAAGATATTTTTAAGCAGATTTTACTCCTCAATAAAATAATTACCTATTTTTAAATTAAGCTTATTTTTTATATTTATTCATATTAAATATTTTATAATAAATATAAAATCATTATCAATAGGAATATTTTTTTTAAATAATAATTATACTTTAAAAAATTAAAAATATTTTATATTTTTTAACATCTAATTCTTTAAAACGTAACTTAAGAGTATAACTTAAAATAAAAAGAGTATTTTTTTCAACCCTATGCATTTAGGGTGACTTGTACAAGGAAAGTGACTCATCACTTTGCAACAAAAAGTGAATCATCCATCTCTCCCTCCCCAAAAAAAATTTTATTCTTTTAGTTGTTTTTTGTTAATAAATAGTAAAAAGTTATATGAAAAGATAAACTATTTTTAAAAATAATGTATTTAGCAAGAGTAAATTGAGAAATTTATTTTTCCGGACAATATGGATAAATTAACTACCTCTCAAGCTATTATTCTTTGTACGAGAATTAGAAGTAACTTATAAATATAAATATAAAAGTATTGTATAATTTCTATAGTTTTTTTTCCAACTATATCCCTAATTCTTTTGTTTTTTTTTTTTGAAAAATGATCCATTAAAATTTCAGTTGTCATTATTAAGTCACTTAAATAGATTATATAATCATGCAATGAAAGTGTAATTGAAAAAAAAAACTTATACATTCAGTCTTATATATTTTAAAAGCTTATTTTTAATTAAATTAAAACATGTGTATTTTTTATATATTATTCATTTTACAACCAAATTTTATTATTAATATTATAAATACATTAAAACCCACCCTTTTTTTTTTATTTGACTGGATAGAAGTACATTAAGCATATGAAATCAAGCAATTAAGTCTTGTCCATTGGGAAAATTGTACATTTTTTTAAATATTAAGATGTTAACTAACTTCTTTTAAAAGAATACTAAAATAGTTTCCCCCCTAATAAAAACACTTAAAATAGTTATTACCAATGTTACATATTGTGGATCGAGAAAGGTAAATGATTCGACCGTCTCATCCACCGAAAAAACAAAATTATGTTAATTATAAATAATTGGCCAAATAAATTTAAGGGAGCTAAGTTTTGCTCCCCACACTGCTTCTTAAACTAGTGTTAATATCTAGTCCTCCAGCTGGTGCCTTTGTAATTTGTGAGTAGCTTGGGGAGTGCTGCATTTCCAATTATCCAGATCGAATTAAAATAGATGTGTTGCTGGATAGAATTTGGCATGATTTGAAATTCGATGCTACGAGTTGTGCCTTAATAATTGTTGCTACTTGCTGATATTATTTTTCAAAGGCTTGGGAAGGCAATTTATTCTGATATGAATGCTTTACAGCTTCGCGCAAATCTTACTTTTTTTCAGGCAGGAATAAATTTAAAAAATTATTTTATTTGTAGACTATTTTAATTATATACCAATCTCTTTAGTTTTGATAAAGTAATTAAAAACACCCTATATCTAGACTATTTACTTATTTAGGACAAGAAGGAGCATTACACACGATTACATAAACCAAAACAATTCTTGAGAGTAACAGTAGAGCTTCCCAAATACAGCAATCGTAATGAATCATTTAAAAATGAGCAACATGCAGTTTTGCCCTTGTCTAAATTTTGTCAAGGGTCGCCAACATCATAAGAACTTCTTAGATACCCCTACAATGCCGTCTCCTTTATACAACCTTCATTAAAAATACGCCAACTCATATACATTTCATCCTACCTATGCGTCTCCATATTTATATCATACAATTGGTTTGACTTCTTCCCATAACATTTTGAGAAAGTGCCTCTGAAAGAAAAAAATAAAATACATAATTTTCTGACTATGCGCTAACATCCGTGTTCATTCAAGAAGGATTAAGGATTAAGGGAACTAAGTGTCATTGAAAATACGTAATCAGTCCATCCAGTTGGGACTTTGGCCTCATTGATTCTGCTTCATCATTGGCTGCATGCCTGCATCAATCAGTGAAAGCAAAAATGAAAATAGACCGGTTCAAAGATGGCCAGAAATATGGTTGACAAATAAAAACAAGGTTCATAATCGAAATCTTTGGCTAAGCCTTGGAGAAGATTATTAGTATTACTCTAAGGAAACAAAGGCTGGTAATGAAGACCCAGATTCTCTGGAAATCCCATCATCGCGTTAAGATTCTGCAAAGCTTGACCTGAAGCTCCCTTCACTAGATTATCAATCTGCAAGAGCACATAGATATAGTTCGAGCTAAGGCCTCAGCCCGTCATAATACAAATGAGCAAATTAAAATTTAACGTGGACAAAATTACCAACTTACTACAGATATAATGATTGCTCTCCCGGGAATTCGGTCTGGAAAAACATTGATCAAACAGTAATTAGTCCCTCTAACGCTATGAGTTCGAGGGATGACTCCGTTTTCCAACAGTACGACAAATTCTTCATCCTGCAAGAACCAAGCAGCGGACGAGGAAGTCAAGAAGAGACACAAATAGAAGTTTAGATATCAACAAAAACCAGACAGGTAAAGGCAAATAATAATAAGCCATGCCTCTATACGAAGTAATGAAAATTTCACAGCTTCTTAAAACCACGCCAGAAATAGTAACAAGGTAAATGGCACACTTGAGATCTCAAGGTGATTTTAAGGCAGAGTTCAATCATGAGAATTTTTTGGTTAAAAGGTGAAAATTAATCAATGCCACAAGTGCAAATTTTACATGCTTGTCAATTTCTGGTGATGGGCAGTGACAAAGACAAACCTCATAAAATTGCCTCAGCTGCTGGTGCAAGTCCTCAATTCTAACTCTTGGAGCCATTTCCACATAGATAGTTGATTGCATGCCACGGATCTAGAAGATGACAACAGTGGTATATTCATAATTTTAATCGATAACAAGCAGCAATATATATATATGTATATATTGAAATACAAAATTCTGGTTGCAACTCTTACCATTGGAATTAAGTGTGGGGTAAAACTAATGGTTATTTTTGATCGGGCAGCATCTGAGAGTCCCTGTTCAGTTTCTGGAACTGGAATTAACAAAGTAGAATTTTTATCAGAACTTTAGATCATTTAATGGGCTGGTTTGTTCAAGTCATTCAAATACAAATGCTAAATGTCATTTGTCCCAGAAGCAAAAGCTCAATCCCGTGTCTTTTACATGGGAAAGAGATCATCAGTTTGAGTTTCAAAGTCAGAGGAGCATGAGAGACTTGTCATAAATCATAATTCATGCTCAAATTTCACTGTTCAATGCCTGGCATTGCCTGCCAACTCCAAGTTATGGTTAAATATCATAAAATCCTTGTCAGGTCGAATTAGCGCTCCTGATGTGGAATTAGGCTGGTTGGTTAATAATTTGTCCTAATCAAGTCAAAACTACCACTAGTTTTCTGCCCTCTTCCGAAATGCAAGTAGCGGTAGGGTGGTCTAATGTTGTAATGCATATTAGAGATTACTGCATTATTGCTTATGCCATATATCCTGTTTTATCATTAGGCTTAAAACATGCAAAGGCGCAAACGAAAGGTCACATAGATCCAGCATGGCAATAGTGATATTTAAAGATAGCAACAGAGAACGTTTGAAATAATTTGGGTTCCTCTGATTCAATGCATTAATTAGTCTAGGTTTACCTAGACTATGAAGTGCACAAATTCAAATTAAACAAGTCAAATCAACTTACCATGGCGATGTCGGGTAACACCATATGAATTGATACCTTCAGCCACTTCTGTGAACAATAAATTTTCCCTCACACTACGCCCTACAACAATAAGCCAAAGAGCAAATCCACTGCAGACATCAGAACCTGCCATTTTTGAGACAAAACACGGGGAAAAAGTGCTTGAAAATTCTAACCTGCTCCACTAACACCAGATTTTGCATCAATAATAACATTTTTAGTCTCAATAAGATTAGCCTGCAATCAAGGGGAAAAAAATTGACATTGAACATATTGTATTGTCATGCAAATAAGCATCAAAAAGTTATGTCTAGAGCTCAAAACATGCATCGATATGGTCTCCAGTCAAAGTGAAAAAAAAGTTGATATAAATGATCAGTAATCGGTACATGTACCCGTCACACAAAAGGTCTTAGTTACTAAACATGACTTGCCTTTTGATGCAAACTAACTTGCTGACAACATATATTCCAACTTACTTTATATATATATATATATATATTTGCTTGTTCTTCATGTCATCAAATAAGAGTCAACTACAAATATTTAGTCAACATTTTGACTCTAAAAAGAAAATAGTGTGACTACTAATCAAAGACTAAAATTCATGGAAAAGAAAAGGTCTGTAACTTGGTACTATATCATAGTAAAAGCACTGCAGTCAATCTCTCTGCCATATCAACAAGAGGCATACCCAAAGAAAAAAAAAACGGGTTGAACTGAAATGATAAACAAGGTGGAAAACACAGTAAAGCAAGACCAAGACTTAATCTTTTATTAGTCCATAATCCACAAACACTGCTTCAAGATTAAGTAATGCACATATCTATAACTATCTGAACTTTTCTTTCTAAAACTTTCTATAAGTCAACAATAAATCCACTTGATTAGTACATAACAACTAATCTTAACACACCATCCCATCAAATTCAAACAACAGTACACAGACAAATGGATAATATACAAGTAATGATTCATAGGAAGGCCGCTTAATTGTGTAATTAATTTTAACATCTCCATCAGACACTACAAAGCCAATATACTTGACAAACTAAATGATAGTCTAGCACGCAATATGAAATATATGCATAATAAGAATGCCAACCTTTATCAATGGGACAAGAGGAAGTTGAATGGATGTTGGATAACAACCTGGGTTAGCCACTAGGCGTGCATGTTTTATTTCTTCCCTAAAAATCTCTGTCAATCCATATACAGCTTCTTTCTGTAAACAAAAAATTAAATATCACTCAGCATGAAAAATAAGACAAGTGATGACCATTAATAAAAACTTCATTTGATTTTCAAATTTACTATTCTATGGTAAAAATAAAAAATAAAAACTTAAACCTCTAGATTCATACAAAAATTTTTAAAAAAACATTGATAAGTCAAATTTGTGAAGTCAACCATATCTCCTCAGATATATGCACTACAAGCAGTTCAAACATGAAACCACAGGTCCCTGTAATAACAAATTCAAGGCTATCGGTTTACTAAAAAGAGACTTACTTGCAAATCTGGTGCCCTGTGTGGTTGACCATACCACTCTTCATACTCAGATATATTTCGTAGGCGGAAGTCCTACAAAATATCTCATTTACAATTCTGACAAGCTATATTTTATTTGTTTTAGAATCAAAAGAAATTATCAAAATTAGTCATGATAGTTCAATTAGAATACTGCAGATAGGTCAACAATCTTCAAGTGCTTGGGAAGGCCTTTAATTATTTCCTGTAAATTAAAAAAAGACAAAACTCAATATTGATAAAGAAAAACAAGTTGAGACAATTGAAACCTGCTATTTAACATATGCATTTCCTTCTGAAAAAGGTAATCATAATTTATTATTTTGTTTCTTGAATCAAGGAACAAAATGGCAAAGTTATAAGAATGAACCTGAGTGGTTCCATGTGGCAAACAACAAAATACAGCGTCCACATCAGAAAAACTTGCATCCTTAATTGTAATCAAATCCGGCAGATTCTGCATATATGGATAAGGAGGAATTTATAGGTTATGTAACAGAGAATGAACATATATCTCCTCATCAGAAAAGTCACGCCTTGGGTATTGCACAAGCAAAAAAATGATTATAGCAATTACCAACCTCCATCATCAAGTAAATTATAGTAAGAATTTATGCAAAATTGCATGAAGAAGGAGAATGCATGCCATATATTTGATAAATACCATTAAAAGTAAGAAAACCGTCTTTATTAATTATATATCATCCATTATGTTTGCCATACCCGTGTAGCAAAATGAGGGAAGACAGATGCAATTGGCTGCCCAGCTTTCCTATCAGCTGTCATTAGAGTAACCTCACATTGTGGGTGATTTGCTAAAAGCCGAAGAACCTAAAAAAATAGTATCACTAGTTCAAAACCTACTATTCCAAAGTTTGAACTAATAGTGAAACACAGGACAGTGGAGAAACTGTGTTAGGGTGTGTTTGCTATGCACCTCAGCACCAGTGTAGCCACTAGCTCCAAGAACACCAATACGAACGGTACTTCGTGAAGCACAATTACTTGACTTCATCATACAATTGACAAATGGCCTCACCTCATGTCGCTTCCTAAACTTGGATGGCTTCTCCGCCTAAACAATTTGCACAAAAGCACAATTTGAGTACAAACATAAACGGAAAAAAGAACATACCAACTATTTCATCTTTGAATTATCAAGTCAATGAAGCTTCAGTCTTTGAAAATTAGCAAACTGCGCAAGTTACTTGCTAAAAATAACAAAATGCACATTAGTCTCTAATTGATCAAAAAGACTATGAGAGTTAGAAAATAAGGTCAACATGCTCTGGATAAAGCACCCCACCACAGAAAAGAATCAAAATTTAATAGAATGAACAATATGTCCAGTGTTAAAAGTCAGCAAGACATTTATAATAAGAAATAAATACAAAAACTTAACCCATTGTTAGATGGAGAGAAAAGTAGGGGAAGAGAAAACAAGAGAAGAAAACATAAAGGGAAAATAAAGTTTTCCTTCTTCAGATAAAAAGGAAAAAAAAATTACAGAAAAGCAGAGGAGAAAAATAGGCGAGGGCTCCATTTTTTCACCTCAGTCAGAGATTTTCATGAAAGACATACTTTCCAAAAATGGCCCACAAAGCTCTAGGCATGAGGCCCTTATTGTCATTGCAAAATTAGTCACTCCTCTTTCCTCTTTTTCTCATTTTCATCCAAACAAGAGAAGAGAAGATAGTTGTTCTCCACTTTTTTCTTCCCATTTTCTTTCTTTCCATTTTATCTCCTCATCCAAACAAAGCATAAGTGTCACAAAATTGGAGAAGGACCTTCCACAAGCAGCCATTGTTGAAACAAATAGCACTGAAAGCCGTAGCACTCATTGTCATGGACAGCTACAAAATTCTGAACCTGGGATGGCTACAAAGTTTTGAACCAGAGAATTAGCTTCCAATAATTGCAATCTATTATGTAAAATTGTAATAATACAAGAAGCCATCTTACTAGTAAATAAAAGATTCTCAGCAATGTGAAGCTTAATTTTAAGGATGAAGATAAAGTCTTAAGCTTTTGGCACTTGATCAATGAGTATCAATTAACACAACGCCCATCTCAGACTTACATACATGCAATCTTAAAAGATAGTGATAAGAGAGGTAATAATGGATTGCAGCAGGAAAAATCTATGTATCTTTTTTTTTTTAGCTAAATTAAGTAAATTGCACTAGGATATCAATATTACTACTAACAATAATATATCAATATATATATATAATTAATATATACAATGTAATAAATTTCATTGCACTAATTTGTAAGTATGAATAAGACAATACACTTCAAATCCCTTGCAACCCATTGGCTAGCATCTAACTTTAAATATGCTATAAATAAATTCCATAATTTATTTTTAATAAATAATAAAATTTATTTCTTTATAAAAAAGTACTAACTTTTACGATCCTACTACATTTCCTATCCATATCCCAAATCGTAACGAAGACAGTTTTCTTCGTCGTGCTTTCTATGGGGGCCATGCTGATACTTATCAACCTAAAGGGGAAAAGCTAGATTATTACGATGTGAACTCTTTATATCCGTATATCATGAAAACATTTCCTATGCCTGGGGGTAAGCCTGTCTGGCATGGTAAATTAGAAGGCCAGGATATAGACCGCTTGTATAGATATTTTGAGGCTCATATTGTCTGTCCTCCTACTATTAATAAACCTTTCTTAGCCTATAGGGATAATCTAAGTAAAACGATAGTCTTCCCAACTGGGGAATTCGTGGGTGTGTATTTTAGTGAAGAATTGAAGTATGCGCGCGACATAGGCTACCAGGTTACTCTTATCTCAGGCTACAGCTTTGAAAAGATGAATAGCCCATTCGAGAGCTTTGTAAATGCTATTTATGATAAAAGAAAAGATGCAAAGAGAACGGGTAATGATGCTATGGCTTATGTTTACAAGATACTCATGAACTCACTATACGGTAGATTTGGTATAAATCCTAAATGCATGATCACTGAGGTCTGCGATCTTGATCGATATAACCTATTGACAAAGATAAGTGATTACATCTTTGCGGACAAGCTTAGCGAACATTACTATATCGTCACTTACTGGAGCAATACCGGACAGGTCTCCGACTCTGACTGGTGTCCTCCAAGGATATCAGCTGTTCAATTGGCTGCAGCTGTCACAGCATGTGCTCGGATTCATATGTATCCCTACATTTCATAAAAATCATGTATTATGAAAAATATTAATCACAAGAAAAATGATCTAATTTAATTAAATTTGGAAAAAATAATATACCATGTTCAGTCTAATATTTAAAATTAAAATTTTATATAATAAAATATCATATAATATAATATTATCCTATATTTGATAATACATTATGTGATATAACATAAGATAAAAATTAACTCTTTTAAAGAAATATCCTTGTTATGATATAACACAAGATAAAATTCACGTTAAATGAGTTGAAAATAGCACATAGCTCAGCAAGGGTGTAAAAAATTGAACACCTAACAACACAGCACTACAATAGTTCATACAATAATAAAGAGTTATTAATCACGATCTGTATTCCAGACAGCAAACCCACTGACAATACTCCATAACACAACACGATACAATGATGCAATGTAATTCAAATCCAACAATGAAAATAAACCTTCAACAATCCAACGATACTCTCAATTGAAAATTGAGCAATACAGAGCAGCCCTAATCAAGTCTTCAATGTGATCTCTTCTTGTTTGGATGGCTCCTACACATTAATAATCATTGCAATAAAACTTATTATCATCAACAGACTTGCATATCCATTGACTCACAATATAACTACTAGCAGAGAGAAAAGAATTCTGAAAATATAATAAAACAAAAATAGACCTTATGTTGTTTTCTTAAACTTCCAGTTCCTACAACTTGTTTTCAGGATTCAACTCTGCTGTTTTCTATTTAGTCATTAATGGGTTATCCTTAATTAGTTACATTTGCTGCTGCATCATTTCTTTTGTTTAGTTCCTTCACTTTGCTTTTACTTGTACAGGATTATCTGTCATTTGTGCGATTGCAGAAATTCCTTAACATGGTGTATTAATTTGTTCTTTCGCTTCTTTCGTTTAAGTGAAGAAAAAAAAAATATGGTGCTCAAAGCTGAGTGCTTTTCCCATTATTAAAGCTCTTTGCCCAAAAACTCTCTTCCCCACTTTCTCCAAAAGCCCCAATTTCTTCTCACATCAATCACGGGATTCTTAAACACCCATTCTCCTCTCCCAACATTCATATGCGTTGACATATAGTTCCTTCTAGGTAGGTAAAACGAACCACATTTAATAGTAATCACAACAACTGCAATAATATATACCTCTACAATACCTTAATTACTAATGCCACTTATTCAATCTCCAATGCTGTTTAATCCCTTTTTTTTCCCTGTTCAAATAACATGAAATCTGCTTATTCCTTCTTACACATGAATAATAATAACTTAATTTGATGACCAAATATGCCTAAAGTTAGACTTTTTCTCAATAGGCCAAGAAAACAGCGGAGGTACATTTTGATTTTCTGTTCGATTCGCAGTTTGAGGGATATTATAAACCACGCACCTTTGTGTCATCCTCTTACTCTTATTATTATTTCTCAATTAAAAGAATCCAGAGAAAAAGGCCAGGTTCAATTAAGAAGACACCAATAGAACGAAGGTATAGGCTTAAAAGTTAAATGTAAGGAACTAGAATGGAATCTCACCAAAGGAGGAGACAAAGGGCGAAATAAAATTGCAGAGAAACTGAGGCTGAGGCGAGTCTGAGACTAAGTGGAATCTTCGAACGGGAAAGCGAGAATGCGAAGACGATAGCGGCGGAGAGGTTGAGAGCGAACGCGAACGTGACGGTGAGATGTGACGGTGAGCAGAGTGACTAACAGCGAGGCAGAGTGACTGAGAACGTGAGCTGAGAGGCTGCGGCTTGAGGAGTATAGTGCGATGACTTATGTGTAGCCAAAGAAACAAAAAGATGCATCTTATAGCACAAGATACGATCAAGAAAGCCGAAAGTGAGGGGATGCGGAGTTAAAAGACCTTTACAATCAAAAAGTGGTCCTGATGATGAAACTTTTTTGGAGGTTGATCACTAAAACTGATGCTATACGAGCGAAATGCCCTTAGAAGAAGTAAATATGTCTGCGGTTAAGGCAAGCTGGCAAGTACCCACATGTTATGAAGAAAAGAAACTAATCTGCCTTCTAGAGTGGCATTAATACGGTTTGGGATACTTTTCGCAATCCGAAGGGTATGGCCCAGGTTGCAAGATACTAATGTTCAGGTGGGATTTATGGACCCATTGGATTCATATCCTACTAATGCAGTAATGCACTGCTCCTTCGCTCTTTTATATACAATGTGTTTTTTTAACTAAAATTCGTACATCAATAAAAATTTATTATTCAATTGAAAGAATATAAAATTAAAATAATTTTTTAATTTTATTCATAATAATATCACAATTAATATTATAGCAGTGACAATTATACACAATTAATATGTTCTTTTGTTTTAAGGACAATAATGTTGTGCTTGGCTCATAAGAAAAAATAAGGAGAAAAAAATAGAGAAAAGAGAAAAACAGAGAGGGGTAATTCTTTCTCCTTATGCTTGGCTAAGTGAGAAAAAATTGGAGAAAAAAATTGTTAATTTCACATGAACAATAATAACCTTAATATTTGCAGAAAAATATTTATAAATAATAAAATTTAATATTTTAAAATATTATGTATATAATTTTTGTTATATGTTACTGATTAAATAAAAATATAATTGTAAATTCTTTTATCCCATGCTAGGAAAATAATTATTTTGTTCAATTTTAAGTTTTATTTTTTAAATTATTAAATATATAAGAATCTAAATAGAGGGAAGCAACATGCAGAAATTGAAAAAAAATGAGTAAATTTAAAAATTGAGTTTTCTATCCAAAATCTGCATATATTTATATAGAAAAGTTGACAGTAAAATTAAATTGAGTCTCACATGTTATCTTTCTCCCAATTTTCTATTCTTCTCATTTTTCTCTCCTTAATCAAGTACAAAAAAATGTCATTTTCTCCTGACCTTTCTCTTGTCCCTACTTTTTTCTCCTGCCAGCTACAACATTAGGATAAGGTTCTCTAGTTATTCAAAATTATCGTAACAGTCCTTATATTTAGAAACAAAACCTTCTAAAAAAAAAAAACCTATATACAAGGATTAAGGACAGAGGGAGTATGTGGATTAGAACATGCATATTAGGACGCGGAACATCTCTATTTTCCTATCATTATTTTCCCTTCATTTCCCAAAGTATAAACATTGACATTATTACATCAAGTGAATCTATTTTAGCCATAAAATTGATGAATGATTAAGATTAAGGAAGTAGAAGAACAAAGATAATAAAAAAAAAATGGAGGGATTCAGCGTAAATTATATAGAGGTCATGTGACAAGATTATTTAAAGGTTTCAACGTACGAGTCTCGCTGTGCGCGCGCCTGCGTATGTGTTGACTTGTGTATGTATACACCGACACAGGTAAAATGCAAATTGCTAACATTTAGAATTGAAGGAGAAATGAAGCATGGAAAAAGTCATTAGATATTCAGAATTGGTGACTGCGTGACTCGCAATTTGTCAATGTTGGCATTCTCCTTGTTTTTCCCAGTCTTTTTTATTTAATTTCAATTTCAATATTGTATTCTTTAACCAATAATATTTCTTTTGAGATGAGATTCTTCGTGACAACTTCATCGTAGTTGGTTTCGTGATATCCAGGAAATAATAATATTTTATTCTAATAGAAAAGATGTAATATAATACCATAAGACAGACACTAGAATCTTGGAATCGGTTCCTCAACCAAACACGCTAAAAGCCCAAAATATTAGCGGAGTCATTTTAGCATCACATTAATGGTAGACTATAACGATCAGAATGCGATTTAAAAATTCGACACCCTAGAGAATTAAATAAATCGCTATAAATCAGGCGGTAAAACAGAATGTAATTAGAAAAAAAAAATACTCGAAGGTGAAATAAAATTATAAAGACCAAATGAACTATGAAAAATTGTCTTTGAGCTCAAAATATCATCCTAGTGTGGAGTATTGGCTATCTGGCTTCACCGTCTGAACCACGTGGCAATTCAACCACCATCTTAGTGTGGAGTAATAGTGTGTCCTAGGCACCTTACTGTGAGGTGGTCTGAGTGAGCACACTGTTAAGCCTCAAGCAAGTAAAAGCCCGTCTTTCTTGTTTCAGAAGAAAGATAACCTCTTCCCTTACCACAAGCTGTTTTCTTCCGCGGCCAACCCGGGCAAATTAAACATAAAAAGGAAGAGAGGGAAAAGAACAAAAAAGAATCGTGCTTTTGTTCACAACCAGAGAGTTTCAGTTTCCATGCACTCAAAACCGAATAAAAGCAGTAACTTTGTTTCATTTCTTACCGGAAAGCCTAGGAGGAAAGTTGCTGCAATCCTGTTCAAAGAATTAGAGATGAGTACCTAACACTGACGGTGGTGATGCATTTTCAGCTTGGCTCTCAGGTGGTGGACGATTATCGGCATCAAGTTGTCTCACATTTTCTATCATCTTTACAACGTCTGAAATCTTCGGTCTCTGATCTGGCATCCTTGCCACGCAAGCCATGGCTATCTGTAACATCTCCACCATGTCTTCTTCTATATTTGGGTATCTCATCAGTTCCAGGTCAAACACTTCAGCTGTCCACTCCTCTCGCACAACTGAATGAACCCACCTCACCAAGTGGACAATCTCATCCCCACCTGTAGTAAGAATGGGGGATTTCCCAGTCAGAAGCTCCAGCAAAACCACTCCAAAACTGTAGATATCTGAAGGCTGTGCTGCTTTTCTGGTGTCTGTAACTTCGGGTGCTCGATAGCCAGAAGCACGCGAGATCGGGAGGGCCAGTGAGCTCATTATCATGGCCAACCCAAGATCAGATACACAACCATACTGCTTAGAGTTGACAAAGATATTTGAAGATTTAATGTTTCCATGCACCATCTTTCCACCATTCTCTGCGTGGATACGAGCAATCCCTCTTGCGGCACCTAATGCTATTTTAAGCCGACTATCCCAATCCAAGGCCACCCTATCCTCTCCTCTTTTACCTGAAGAATTCAGGAAATGGAAAAGCTTACAGCACAGTAAAATTTACAAAAATATCAATATGAATACAAAACGAACATACGCACGCGCAGCATTTGCCAGCTTGGCACTGACCACTGCCAATAAATCATCAATTGGGTACATTCCAGTCAAATAGCTGCGAACTGACAAAAGTTCAGCGTAATTTATATCTCAAGGTAACACAAGAAGAAAGGTTCTGTGTATTTTGAAATGTTTATCCCAGAGGTGTAACACTACTACTTCACAGAACAATCCTTAAACTTTAAACACCAGAAATGGGAGAATTGATTACGGACCAAACTGTGGGTTCATTCTTTTTTGTAATACCATATCAGGCTCTAGGCTACAGTCTCTTCAAAATTAACAGAATAAAGGCCTGGAGCTGGCTCCTAATCAACTCTACTATTGATGATGCACCCTTCTTTTGGGCGCACTCAGCATATGAACTCTCTGATGTAAATGACTGTAGGAGTTTCTGAAATAATGACAAAGAGGCCAAAAAATATGATTCAAAGTTTAAAGTTTACGCAGTCTAAACCATAGAAACATAACTGATGAATGACTACTTTGGCTTTTAAAACATGTAAAAGGTGTCAGTATGAGACAAAATGAGAAAAAGAAAGGAGGAGTAACAACGAGTGTTACACATATATATATATATATATATGCATTATATCCTTCTTAATCCTACTAAAGACGTCTCTAGTTAATCATTCAAAACATTTTACATAGATATACGTTATATCAGGCTTCATATGCATACTTCAACTTAAAGACATTCTTTCCAACAGTGAGACGGAATCAAAGAATCCATGTTATTCATCCCAAATATTTGTGACTGACAAACATATTGTGGTCAAAACCTTCTGCAGGGTTACTGTATATCGAGAAGTTCATGGTGTTCTCTCTCTGCATCAATAGTCATACAGCTCTTATCAAGCAATTGTGAATAACTATCTACTTTACGACATGCCAGACAATAAATGACTTTGAAAATGTTTATATGGTTAAAGCTAAGCTACATACCATGCAGTAAAGAAGAGAGGCTCCCCTGACTGTAATAATCATATACCATCAATTTCTCATCCTTGGAATAGTAATATGCTTTCAGTTCAACCACATTATCATGTTTAAGACTTCCCACAATCTCCATGTGTTGCTCAAAGTCTTTTTTTCCAACAGCTACATCCTTCAGCCTCTTGACGACCACTGTGGAAGCATCCTCTAGTATGGCCTTGTATGCAGTGCCAAACGTTCCCTTGCCCAGTACCTCAGCAGAAGCCCGTAACAAATCCTCCAAGTCAAAGGCATAGTTACATCCCTCAAAGAAAACTAGTTTATTATTCGCATCTTGATTCCTCGAAACTTCTTTCTCCGGAGACATTCCTCCCTTTTGCAACTTCCCAGAGAACCCATCTTCGTCCCTCCTTCTCGAGAAGCATACAAACATCAGAAAACCAAAAGCGAAAAGGGCAAGAACACCAACGGCAGTCGAAACTCCTAGTAGTGTTGTTTCCCGGAGACCTCCGTGTTTCTTAGATTTTGAAGACGGTTTGAAAGAAGGAGGAAGTACAGGAGAAAGGTGGGGATAATTTCCAAAAGATATGTTATTACCTAGGAATGCTGACATAGGAAACCTCTGGAGAGAATTAGGTACACTACCGTTCAACTTGTTGTTAGATAAATTCAACTGTTGCAATCTGAGCAACTGGATATCAGGAATTTCACCAGAAAGCGAGTTGTTTGCGAGATTCAAACCAGCAAGTTCAGTCAAATTAGAAATTGAGAAAGGAATGCTGCCATTGAAACGATTATTGGACAAATTGACGATGGTAAGATTCTTCCAGACTGAGAAATCCGGTAAAGAACCCGACAGGTTGTTAAATTGAAGATAAAGCACAGATAGATTTTTTAACTCAGACAAATCAGAAGGAAAACTCCCACTGATAAAATTGGATCTGAGGCTCACGATTTGCAGTGCTGAGAGGCGGCCAATTGTATTGGGTGGAATTGCTCCATGAAATCCAATTCCCGGAAGTCGGACAGCAATTACTCGGGACTTATCTTCGTTACAAGTGACTCCAGTCCAGTTAGTACATACAGAAGAGTTCTCATTCCAATTTAGAGGGCGAGAGTGAGAGAACTGGTTCACAAAATCAAGCAAAGCTCGCTTATCTTCAATAGGCTCTGCATTTCCTTGCCGGAGAATCAGATCCAGCAGGCAAATGGAATAGAAAATGCGCAGAAATGCCATTCGACCAAAATGCACTACTTTCAGCAGGAACGAGATGTTTCTGCTATGTGTTGATTGTCACTCTGCTAGTCTACTCTACAGACTGAAATGAAACGTAACCGCGTTAGTGTGGATACAAGATATAATTTACTTATTTTTCCCGCCTAGTGAACTAAAATGTGAGAAAGGAAAAAGAAAAAAGGGGATAGCTATTAGCTAGAAGCAAATGGAAAAAGAGCAAAAGGAAATCTGGTTCCAAGATGATTGTCGACGAAAGTAGATGCGGACACTGAGAAAATTGTGCATAAAAGAGCGAGCCTGCAAGCTGTGAGCGAGGCTTCGTTTAAGTCAAAGCAAAATAATTTAATCTAACAAAGCAGAGTGTCCGTCCAGATGGGGTGTTCCTTTCCGTTTATTATTCCGTGTTAACTTTTTTCTTGGAGATGGCGAAAATCGAGAATTCAAATTATTTTTAAAGAAAAAACGAAGTTCAGAACAGAACAGAAACCAGACCGCTCACTTCGTTCCACGACCACCCCTTCTACCACCTCCAGCAGCAGGACACCATTTCAACGGCATCACTAGTTTAAGCAAGCATTATAAACAAGAAATGATGAAGGAGAGAGAATGGGTTGGAGAAGAAAACGTACTAGTTATAATTTCACAAAACTAATAGTGCTCGCTAAAAGAAGCATCCAATGCACAATTAACAGTGAAAAGCGTTGAAAAGGCAGAATAAGGCATCATCTTGTGAGAAGACTTTGAACCAGAGAGAGGAAACGAGAGAAAGCGACAGATAAAAGAGCTACCCGAAGTCGCCGGGGAAGCTAAACAAAGAATTTCAACGCTCTTCAACTTCTCCATTTTTGGAGGTCATGGTTGACGGAAGCTAGAATGAGAAACGGAAGGAGGAGAGTGAGAGTGAGAGTGATGTGAGCGTGAGTGTGTGAGCAAGTGAGAGAAGCACTCACCTAACGGATGACCCAGGGATTAACGGTGCCCCACGGAACGGAAAACCTGTGTTAACGATGTACAAAGAGGGGGTTTATATGGATCATTGACGTGGCATCATGTCATTCTGCCATGTGGGTCCTACGTATGTTCATTAACCCATAAATAATTTCCATTACTTTGACTGCCTATGCCAATAATAAACCAAGGGCTCAAAAGATAGAATAAAAAACTTACCTTCTTATCAGTTACTCATCATATACTTCATTAATATCCTCATCTCCAGTTACCTAGTGAACCCTGTCTTTTGCAATGTTTTAATGGCAATTTATAAGCACGCAAGTTATCGGAATTTCATGCGTTACACAAGTGAAATGTCTTTTGGATTTTGTTAGCCACGACAAACCCATGATTTCTCGAGTTCAGCAAGGATCAGGCTCATATGGCTTTGGGGTAGATGCTTTGATTGTTAAATTTTTTATCTAGTCTTTTAACGGATAAAATAGGGCTGTTGATTTGAGTTTATGCGAGTAATTGTATTGCCAATCTGTTAAACACTTATTTCCTTGTTTGAGCTTACGGAATGATCACTGGTTCTCTTGCACGACAATAATATTCCAAGACGAAGCATAACGAGTTAAGTCGTCTTCCTCCATCGGCCAACGTTAGAGTCCAAACCAATTCTGTCCTCAGGGATGGCTCTCATAGCAAAGCCTTAATTCTGCGGTCATTGTCTGGAGAAGCAGTTGGTGGGAGATCAATTCTTCATTCAATTGTAATACCCAAAACACATGGTCTTGAATTAAAGACGAATATTACCCTATTCAGCCAATTTCTCTTCTGGGGTTGCATTCAGGTAACATTAGGTCTCAACTTTACCTGACCCTAACTACTGGATGCTCATTATTTGCAGTGTGTGATGTTCTGTATTGTTTGTTTTACTGAAGAAAAACCAGTGTGGGGTGTGTGGCCGACTGGCCGTCAGTGTAATCTGCCTCAACCACTACTATTGTCCTGATCACAGGTTATGTGATTCACCTTTTCCCAAGAGCTATATGCGTCAGTAACACAGTAGAAACCGCCCCTTTTGCAAATGGCCCATATGGCTCTTAGTTTGTCTCCGTGATTTTCTTTGGTGTCTGAAGGACCTTTCATTTATTGCTTCTCGTTGGCATTCTGATGAGAATACTTGATTTTATACCATCCTCTTGGAAGCTTGTTGAACACCACCAGCAGCACCAGCCACAATGATAATAATACAAACCATACTGACACACAAGTATTAGGTGGTTGTCTGGTTTGATGTTCTCGTATCTTTTGTTTTATTGGTATTTTGAGGTTTGAGGTTAGATGGGGTCCCGTCCCTTTGGAATTGACTACACCAAATGGTGTTGCGAAAGGATTCAGTTCGCTTCATCATTTCCTTCACCATGAGCGGTGGCCATTCAACACCTCGCTAGAAGCACTAGTTTGACTGTCATTAATAAGCGTGACGATACGCATTAAGAGTTGCTTTCAGGATGAAGTTTTAAGAATACTATGATATTATTTGATCATGTATCTTGTCGCTTATTATAATTCCAATAACATCTTAGTTCACGCTTAATTTGATAGAAAGATTATTAAGAGAATAGGCTTGAGATAAAAAAAATAAAAATGTTTTTATTCACATGTTTAATTAGAATAAAGATGGTATAAAAATTAGGGGGGAAAGCCCCATGAAGCTTGGTTGGATCTGATTTGTTGAAAGGATGGAGGGCACAATGGTAAATACAGTTATAAGAAAAATAAAAGAAACAACGTTCTATCTACACAGCCATGGAAGGCAGGTTCCATTTAAAGCTGAAAACTTCTTCTTCTTCTTCTTTTTTAAAAAAAAAACACCTGTGTGCCAAATAAGCTTTTTGTGCCTTTCAATTACATTTTTTCCTTAGATAGCTCCCTCTCTGTTTGTTTGTTTTTTTTTTCTTTTTGCCCCTTCCTTCTAATTAGACAGCTTTTTTCATGCTGCCAACGGTCGTATTTTCAATTTAAAGCAAAGCTTCTCCCATAAGGAGAATCTAAACTCTACACAAGCTGCCAAGCAGGGCCACCTCAAACTGAAAAGTCTGAAGTTGAAACTTCAGAGTTCAAACCAGAGTTGGGGCTTGGGCGACAGAGAAAGCACAAATAAGAGAAGAAATCAAGAAACTACTGCAACTGGATAGCCCAATCTAAAGAGGTTATTCCTTTCTCTTACCTCTTCTTTTTCATAACTTCTTCACATGACCCAAGAAAAAGGGCTGTGAACAAAAGCCCAGAAAACTATGCTCTCACAAAAGAAAAGCCTTTTCAATGTCAAGATTTTGAAATTCACATTGCAATTTCATCAATCATATTGAACAATCACTTTAGGTGCATCACTGGTGCATTTCAAATTCATTGAAAAGTGGATATATGCATCATCAATCTCAATATAAATCTTATAAACACTAGGAAGTTAAACAATGCATATCAACTTACAATTTCTATCTTATAATACGCACCTGATCTATTGTTTGGGCTTTGCGAGGAGAACAAAGCCCACGTCTAATTTCTATAAGTTACAGGAGACTTAATTCAAATTCGCCGTTTGTCTGGGATTATCTCCTATTATTTACATTTATGTCACTCACACAATATTTAAATGGACTATTACCACATGCTTAAAAAGAATGCTGGGTGGTTTACATTCAGAGTCTTGTGCCTGTAAAAGTCAGTTGATGCAGATCAAGTGGAGGGGACAACAGAGAGGTCCAAGCGGCCTGTCCATTCTTCACCTGGCTTCAGCGTGATTGGTTTCTCAACTGCCGCACCATCAACACAAACCATCTGCTTGTATTCTTCATCCCCAAGATCCACCATCGTTTTTGACTTTTTCTCCCATGGATTCCAAACAACTGTGTGAAGTCAAATCTCATTTGGTTAATTTTTAGAGGTCTTGCAGTCAGAAAATGACAGAAAGCCATGTGCAATATTTACTACATAGATTTAGGATGCGAGTACTGGTAACAAAAGACCTTACCAATGTCTGGAAGTCCTTCCTTTCGTATCACAAATGTTCTCTTCCTTTCGTGATCTAGGACAGCGACCACGTTACATGAATCCAGATAGACGCGATCCACCTAAAACAGGGCGAATTAAGAATTTGGTGACCTAGACAAATCTTCAGCATTGGCAAACTATTGTTGACAATTTGAACTAAAATATCATCATGTGTCACCTCAGATTCAAATGTTAAAGCATCCCCTTGTTCTGTGAAGCGCTCTTTATTGCGTAGGTTGTCGAGGTAATCGAGAGTCTCCAACCCTTCTACCCTCACTTCACTGTCAATAATCAGGAAATGCTATGTTTATGGCCATAAGTGAGATGCTCATGAACTCATAAGTCTGGAGCGAATAGTGAATTTTTTATTATTACTTGCACATAATCTTATCTAAAGAAAAGTAGAGGGATTGCATGCAGACCTGATATCAGAGATAGAGAAGTATGTGTGATACGCAAAGGAGAAACTGAAAGGCTTGCTATTCACATTCCTGATGCGAGAAATTACAGTTAGGTTGCCATCCGCTGCCAAACACACCCTTAGGCGAACCTCAAAGCTGCAATTATATTCCATATCAGTATCTAAAATATAACTTTCAAATGACATGAGATGTGTGACTATCTCCATTAAGTGGAAGACCAAGGAGTGGATATGATATGAAGAACATGACACAGTTTCCTAAACCGCGTGATTAGTTAAAGAAGTCTCACTGAGCATGTCAAGAATTGAACTACAGCTACATGCCGTTGGCATTTTGTACAGTCAAGGCAACTATTTGCTTCTTTGATGCAATCTTACATGCATTTGGGGACAGAAAAACAAAGGGAATGTTCATGATCCATCAACAAATTAATCAGTTTATGGTTATTTCCTTCCAACTGATCCCTTAGTTATAAATTCTGACCCAAACTTGCAAGTTGAAAAGATGGCGATTTCAGCATACCTATGTGGCCATGTCTTAAGATCTTCATCAGATGGTTTGAGTAGCAAGTCAATATAGGATTTGCCATGGGAATCAGTACTTGGAAGTGGTGGAGGACTGTCATCAATAACCCACATCTTGTTCCTTGCAAATCCATGTTGCTCTAGTGTTCCACGGTTTCCAAACTGCAAAACATCAGCCGGAACCCTCTTCAAATATATACATGTCATTCAGTACTATAAGATATAATCTAACGAATTCAGAACTATACCTGGGGAAAACATATTGGAATTCCTCCTCGCACTGCTCTTGGAGGACTAAAGATTGCCTGATGGAAAAGAAACGCCATCAAGTTTCTAGAGTAGGTGAGACAAAAACCAAATTGATCTGGAAGACTCAATATAGTTATTTAATATTTACCTTACTACTGGTGAATAATAATTCTTCACCACGTTCAGTTTTCCATGAAAGTACCTGCCCTCCGTGCAAACTAACCTGAATAATTTAATCATGATTCATGAGTTAGCCTACATGCTTTGCATTTCTTAATGTTATTAACTATTTGTGAGAGGCAGAGAATCTAACCCTTGCCGAAGCTCCTCGATGGTTCCGAAGAACAACCTGGTCTACGCCATTCCTGTCCTTGGTAACTTCAACTCCAGCTCTGCCTTCCCTTTCTGCTCCAGAATGACTCATGCCGTCTCCACGATATCAGTTCAACACACAAGATATAGGATCTGTGTCTCTCTCCCTCTCTTACTAAGTACATCAAAACCGGATTCCCAGAAGCTGAAAAGAAAAGCAATTGGACTTTAAGAGAAACTGAGTTCAGCCGTCACGGTGAAGCGGGAGAAAACTCACGAGCTTCCCATGTGACCTTTCTCGTGAGTTGTGACCTACCAATTTTTCTCGTGAAATATGAAACTAAAAGCCTAACAAATACCAACTACCCCGATCTTTCCTTCAACATTATCCGATGACTATTCAGATAAAGCCTCTTCTCCTGTCGAACAGCGGTCAAACACAGACCCAGAAAGAAGATTTTTCCCAATTGGGAAACCTAAAAAAAATTAATAATAATAAAGCCAACTAGACGGTCGACAAAACCCCATTTCTCACTGTTACTAAATGGGGACCAAACACAAATTAAATTTTGGCTCACGGACAGAAAAATGGTAACTAGGTTTTGTTTTGGTGCGACCGTGTGGCAAAGTAGAGACTTTTCAGGCATGAATCATATATTTGAGGGAAGAAGGAAGCAGCGGGGTGACGGTGAAGGTGGTTTTGGGTTTCAACGACTGCTCTAGACACCAAATACGCACGCGAGAGTGAAATACCGGAATTAACGACCCAGTTACGCGCGAAATGGTCGTTTTCCTCTGCCCTTTCAGTAGACTTCATCACAGAATTCAAAGATTCAACTGGTCACCCACACCTGCCAAGTCAAGCCCAGGCCCTAGGCATGAAAATGGATCTAACTAAGAAGTTTGGCTAGGCCTAAGGGGCAATTTATCCATCAGATTGAGAATAGTCGGTGCCCTTTGCTTGGTCAACGACCATCAAATATAATTTTAATCAGGACTTTTTTGGTCTTTAATTTTAATCAAAATTTACCCAAAAACAAAAAAACGGAAATTCAACCTCTGATTGCACGAAGTCGGACCCACTAACAAACCTTTCACCAAAATTTTATCTTGCGGTTTTTAAATTTTTTTAAATGCCTGCCCATTTCATGCCATACTTTTTTGACCAACTCATGCCAACGACAAATGAACCATTGATTGCCGCTTAAAAAAACTAGTGGTTGCTCTTGCTAGTAGAGTTCGGGTCTTACTTGAATTATAAGGCCATGATTTACAATTTTCTTAAAAAAGTACGACCGCTTAATATATTTTTTTTAACAGAAAGTTATCAACACGATTATATAAAATTTTATAAAAGTGGACGTTATTTTTTTTGGTAGGTTTGTATATGTTTTAAAAAATACCCCTTTTGTTTTTCTCTGTAATTTTATTTTCCTGGCTTATTCAGAATAAGGTCGTAAATCAATAACAGCATCCACTCTTCTCGGCCCAGACATTGAAAAATGAGTACAGTAATTATATCGGTCTCGATTGAGTTCGACATGTATGGCACCCAAAGGAAACGAATGTCGTTTTTCTCTTGAAATAACAATAATGGAGACAGGATATAAAAAATAATAATAATAATAATACACACACACACACACACACACACACACAATAATGGAGACAGGTCTCTTTGCTCATGCAAGTAACAGATAACATTTGCCTCTCTCTAAAAGGGATGTTTCTCCTATCTTCCCATAATGGGCAAATAATGTGTGTAAGTGGTAAGAGAGCTATCTATAATACAAAATTATACGAAGAAGGTTTAAAAAAAAAAAACAGACAATATCCATACCAAAATCTCAAGACTGATTGAGAAATGGTGAGGAATGAGTTTGGAAGCATCAACTTAAAGATCTTTGATTTTCTTGGCCCTCGCCTTCACGCAGCAGAATCAACATCTGGCAAACACAGTTTGATGCAAGATAAAGGTCTTCCATTCACCATTACATCCCAGTATGTCACTAGTACTTTATTGACAGGTCATGCAGCTGCGCATGTAGACCCTAAATGACAGAAAACAATTAACGATGGTAATATCTCAGATTTCATAAGAAAGATTATTAATAAACTTGAAAAAGGTTTTAAACTTTTGAATCTACTCTATCTGAAAAATAATGATAATCTCGACAGTAAGCCTCCTTCAATAAGTTTGAAATAGATAATTGCATCCACCGAAAAAAGTGGTCATTGATGCGAACCAAAGTAATTTTTATTTCAAACATGCTAGACTTATGTGATGTGTTTCCTGTTAGAAATTGATCGTGAAGAAATCAATTCAGTCATATATCTAAACCAGGCCAATGTAAGACGGTTTCAAAGGTTTAATTTAACTCGTCTGATTTCTTCCAACTGAGGCATGAGTTATGTATGTAATATGGTTTCAAAGGTTTAATTTAACTCGTTTGATATCTTCCAACTAACAGTCAGTAAGGTTTAAAACGGTTGAGAGGTTTGGCAAAATTGTCTTTCTGATAGCAGTGGGGAGAAAATGAGACCTGATGACCATGAGGAGCAGCAAAACTTCCTTTCATGGATGTGCTTCACATCAAGTCCAATAAACCATGATCCAGCACTTACATCGTCATGTGCATATGTACGAAGAATATATCTACAAATAGAATATTTCCATTACACGATATTCATTACAAGCATAACCAAAAAAATGAGGAACAAATATGCAAAAGACTACCTGTTGGTTGACATAAACTGAGCCAATGATTTTGATATGACATAGATCTCACCTGAAGCATGTTGAAAGTATCTGCGTTGAAAGGACCAAAAGCATATAAATGACTGTTGGCACGCAGAGCAGAAATGGGATACAGAGTTTGGCAATGAGGATAGAGAAAGAGAGGAAGGCACAATCGCCATCATTTAAATGAAATAATTTTCTGAATTTATCTCCTTGATATACACAAAGCATATTTATATACAGGGAAATCAATTCAATTTTACAGGAGCAGAAGGGAGCAGATTAATAGAGCGATATCCACTGGTAATACTATATGGTTAAATCATTTTCAGCAGAAACAATCATTGTATAGCTTTGCGCCAGAACATTTATAGCACAGCCCAGCACACTGATGAGGTAAACCCTTGTATATGAAAAAACTAATTGAGGAAATTATATAATGGGGAAAAAACTTCATTCAGGTAACCATAATTCAGGTATGTTATTGTTTCCTGAATAATGAATTTGAGAAAGCTGCAAAATCAGAGATATTCTTCTCAAATGACAAATCAAGTCATAACACTCGCTAAATCATCCTGCACAGGAAAGTCATTGCTTTATATCCATGCTCTATCATTAGTAACAATTAATAAAAGAAGGTAATAGTACTCACGATTTTCCATCGCCAAATTTCCACCAATCTGGTTCATACCATTTATGTGTCCTATATATTTCAAAAAATTTCTGTAAAGAGAAGAAACTTCCAATATCATAGTAAATTAACTTTATCCACTTCAACATTATGATTAGACTTACGGCTCAGAAAACACTTCGCCTGATTTCATACAACCAACATAAACATTGGCCTTATCCAAATGAGAAGTTAACACTGCTCCAAGGGCATCTGTAAAGAAAGTTGTGACATGCATTCGTATCACAGCAGCGAATCATAAATCAATGAGCATCAAGTTCCGTGAAATTCAACAAAATTCTATAAAACAATAATTAACAATTTTTGTCCCTGTGAATACCTCAATATGAGATATTTTCATGTTGTTTTCATTTTCTAGACTTCAAAACAATTATAAAAATCCTTGAGAAGAAAAAATATGTTTCAAGATGCATGTGAATCATAGAAAATGTTAAGCTGACTATACAATTCTTCTATTTGAGTCCACCAACGGACTTAAAAACAAACTCTGGCAAGAATTCAATAAGCAGGAGTAGTGCAGGATAATCTCTTACAAACGTTTGAACCCTCCAATATTCAGTTAAAGATCTATAACCTCAAGATTTTAGACTTTGGTGAGGGAATTCAAATTTATTAATTTTATTTTTTTCTTTTCTTTAGGTGGGAAGGGGGTGTGGAAGGAATGTCTCAGACTTTGGCTTATCAGCAAATTTGCGGTGCCAATAATGTCATTTATATTTCTTACTGGAATGAATTACTTTGGGCCTTTAACGTCATATGGTTAATCAAACATATTTTCTAACAACTCAAAATCGCAGAATTTCTTGCATTCAGAAATAAAACTTAAAAAGAAGACCACATACCAAGATTGAGAAAGACATCATCGTTGACCTTGACATAAAATTCAGCATCCCAGTTGTCTACTGCATGAATGAAGAAGGATTTTATCTTTTTTGAGTGCTCCTCTGGTACCTCCACGTGGTTATCCTGGGTTAAAAATAAAAGCTAATGACATGGTGGCGTTGACTATTTTACATTCTTGAATATCAACTGAAGGTTCACAACCACACCATACACAATAGACATTTGACATTCTTAAATAATGAGCTGGAGGCATTTGCTCTTTTAGAATATCAACCAGAGCATACCATAAAAAAGTGAATTTACATACAGAAGTTAAAAGTCAATATTCGGGCACTCACTATGAAAAACATAATTCTCTTACAATGTAAAGTATATACAATGCATGCACTTGGAATGCACAATCAACTAAACTCCACTTGTTCAGACGGGAAAGGTTATGTTATATCTATTTCATGCCAAAATGTTGTTTACATGAAATTAACAAAACTTAGCATACCAGAATGATAAAGTCATTGGTGTGACTGCTCTCAATTTCAATTTCTTTGTCCAAACTGTCCCCATGATTTGCACTGCTAGGAAGGTAAATGTCCATTAAACCAAAAAAAGTTTTAAAAAGAAAAATCATTCGATATCATTTTGAATTTGAATAGCCAAAAACAGACCTTCTTCCAATTACAAATCGCACAACCATGCCCTTTTGATCAGTAAATTTTTTCATATTTGTGCCTGCAATTAAGGTGCCACCATGTCAGTCAGTTAACTTCTACCATAATCTGAGTCCCGACTCCTGACCACACTCGTTGAAAGAAGTGAAAGAATCCAATCAAATTTGCACATTGCACTTCCAATGAAACAAATCAAAGAAATAAATACGCTGTAACATACTACATCACACGATTAATAATGTCAGCAACTTAATAATGCATAGAACAAATTGGTCAAGCCCAAGCATTATTATTCCAAGTCCAACAATTGCACATTTTGAACAAAAGTATATTTGTGCATGAATCTATACAAAACATGCAGCTAAACAAATTGATGAAGGCCTTCATTTCATCAACTTAGAACAACATGACTTTTACTGAAGAGGCAAGACGTTTTAACTTTTCCCTTGTCATGGTTTTCACAGTGCAATATTTCGCATGTATGGGGAGTCCTAGCTAATAGTTTACTCTCATCCAAAATTCTCTGCATGCTTTTCTTTATCAAGCCAAATGGCTCATCCGGCATACGTCTTCAACACCATATCTGTTCACCCCTGGCTGTCAAAATATCTTATTTGAAATTGGTTTTCATCTGAGTAGTTTACAGTGACAAGACAACGATTCTCAGGCCAATCAATTGTCCATAACTCATCAGATGAAATGCTATGATTAATAAACGATAAAGAAAACCATGAACAATAACAGAAAAAATAAGTGTGCACAAATTCAGCGATGTTAATTATTACAATAACTGGATATGATACTAGTAAATTTAAGCCTGCACTGCAACCTCCTTGAGTATAGCATTAGCAGGTGTGCCACTGAATAATCAACGTGACCCCAAAAGGCCACAATACATTAGTCTTGCTGAAAAAAATAAACAACCAAGTAGAGCTACCTGTTGGCATCCATGCTTTACGAATAGCATCTCTGTTTTTCTTTCGGCCAAATGTTGTTATTATTCCTATAACTGAAAGAAGCCTCTTTGTTGACTGTCTCCCAGTCCCATCATTTACTGACAAGTGCTTTGAAACAAAGCCTTCCTGTCTAGCTGCAGCTAGTTCCATCTCAAGGGCGGCTAACGTCTTCTGTTGTTCCCTATAAATAAGGACTAGTGAGTATGTAACCAACTAATGGCCGGTCACTCTCTTCCATAATGAAGCTTCAACCCAAAATCATAACAATGCAATAACTACAAAGGTAATTTAAGATAGAAAAGGAGGGATGGAGACATTGGCTCCTAGCAATGTTACCTGCAGTTTATAATTTTAAGGGTGTCATCAACAGATATGGCAGAATGACCCTGAAATCGGATGAACTATACTGCCTCATTGATTTTCCTATGGATGATAATTAAAAATTAAAAACACACGCTTGCAATCACACACAAAGGCACATTTATGTTGAGCTAAATTCCCATACATGAACTTTATGACATGAGCATGATAAATTTAAGTAACATTGCACCTGACCAGTTCCTTTATCAAGCTTTTGAATTAAATGCACCCTGTTCTCCGCGTCCTGCCATATCCTGTCAATTTAAACATATATCAAAATTTTGTTACGCTAAAGCCAATTGCAGTCCGAAATAAACATTCAAAAGGCGTATGATGAAGAAAGTGTCAATTTTGATAGAGAAAAACTGACCGGCCGGCCACGTAAATAGTGGCCATGGTAGCTATCATAGCGAGCAACAAAGCGGATATTCGAGATCCGAAAGAATAACCAGATCGCCGGCTAGACATTTCTTCTTCAAGAGAAAGTCCGAAAATAAGCGTCAGAAAATCGTCATCAAAGTCTCTCTGCAACTACAACTTCACAACTTCTCAGATCTAGAAGAGCCACCGAAAGTGACAAATGAAGAAACTGAATTCTGGACCTTGACATGCGAACTCTGAAGACGTGATTACCAACTTGAATCTCAATAGGATTGTCGGCTTTAACAGAAGCCTGAGAAATGACTATCCTATACAAAATGTAAATGAATGCCCATTGGAAGGGAAAGAATCAAAGAACACAATAACAACAAATTAATTCATAGGTGTGGTGTGACGACTCTCAGTCTGGAAAGAGAAGTCCCTGTGTCTTTTCCCCCAGAAAATCCATGATCCATGCAATCTTATTTGGCTGTTTTTTTTTTTGTCAAAAAAAAATTCCCAGATGCTTTTTAATTTTAAAAAGCAACATTTTAAAAATATTACTTATAATTAAAATTAGATACATGAAGCCACACATTGAGCTAATTAATATGACATTTACCTAGTTGTGAGCCTGTTAACATGACCAAAATGTAAGTGACACAGCTATATATTAATATATTTACATATTTGAAAAATATATTGATGATGTTAATAGTTGTTTATGCCAATATATATGATGATTTTTTTGATAATGAAGTATATATAATTGGGGTTTTATAAATTGAGATGTTAGCAAAAGGCAGGGGGAAGTTATAACGGAAAACAAGAATTGGAAAGGGAAGGAATTTTTTTTTTTATGAAAGGACAAAAATACTCATCAGTTTTTTTTTTTTTTCCAGTAACACCCCATATTACTAAGCAGACAACGGTGGAAAAATGTCCATGATGTTTAATGCAACCGTGTCGAAACCGCTTGAGGAGCTCGACATTGACTATGAAACTAGATATGTAAGCAAACAATAGAAATTTTTTTGCTGATGTGGAGTGAAAATTCTGATCTAGGTTATATATTATATCCTAGTCAAATGGGCCCACGCATGTTCTTCGTCTTACTTAATCTCCTCGAACCCCAATCCTTATGGTCCTCCCCTCAGTCCTCTCAATCTCTCTCTCCCTCTCACCTATCATATGCTTCCATCAATTGAATCTCTGACCGACCAAGCAAGTCAATCAATTGAATTTCCAAGTGACACGGATTTGAGAAAGAGAGATGAATAACAAATCTCTCCGCCATTATTCTTGATGATGATGACAGCTTTAGAGAGAGATGAACAAGCAACTTTAGAGAAGGTCAATGACAGCTTCACCACCCCATGCGGCGACGAATCTTTCGGTTGAGTTATCGTTGGCTTAACTAGAGCTCCGCCACTGCATTGTCTGCGCTCTGCCTCTTCTTCGTCGTTCCAACTCTCCGATCGCGTTCAACAACAGTTTGTTTGCCCAAATTCTACTATTTTTATGATCATTCTTGGTCCGAATGATACCGATTGATCCGAGTTGGTCTGGGTATATTTATCTCAAATGCTATGGATTTCTTGGTTGTTGATCATATATGTTTTTGAATAGCTTTCGTAGTCTCTCCAGCAAAGGCTTCCAAGTGCTCTGCCTAGCCAATTCGTTGGTCTCTTAATCATCATCATCATCAATACTTAGTTTCTGTCCAATAGAAGATGGGAAGCAATCGAATTATTGAACAAATATCACTGAAAAAAGCGAGTTTTTGATTGGGAGGCAATCCTACAGTCCTATTACAAGCTCCCAAATCACTGTGTTCATTCTTAGGCAAAGACCATTGCACGTCGTCGTGGTTGTGGACACTCGAGTGGGAAGCACAATGGAAGGATGGAAGAGAAGGAGTGGAAGGAGACAGGGTGTGGTTGTGGCCGTAGATGGTGGGAGGTTTCAAAGGATGAAAGATGTGTTTGGTCGAGAATAGGGGGCAGGGGTTCGAGGGAGAGAATGAGAGGAGAGAAAAGGCATTATCTGGAACACGTGCAAGGGGAAGAAAAGTGAATGGCTGACAACACTTGGCGATGACTGTGAAGGATATAACAGATGTTTACTTCCTCAAATGATTTTGGCATGGTTACATTCGTTAAATGAATATTGGGAGTGCTTTTACACCATCCTTCACTTAATAGTACTGAATGTCTCCAAAAGAAAATTTCATAATTTTTTTTTGACCTTTTAAAAAAAAAAAAAAACTTTGATGATGTGCTTCTGTGGAGAAGCATCTCTTAGGTAGATTAAGCTTACAATGAAGTATTTAGGTGAATTAAAAAGATACATGGGTAAAGAAAATAAATAAATAACTAGACTCTGCATATTGTTTTCTATCAATATTTACAAGAAGTTGATGGACGAGATTATGAAGATGACAAGGTTTGAAACGGGAATGGAACTGGATAAGTATATAGGGATGGCTTTGGTTCACATCAAGGAAAAGAAATTTCAATTTTCCGTTGGAAACGGTGACGCTTGCAAAATCTGTCACTGAAACAAATCCTTGTGTATGCAAGAATGGCGAGCAAGCAAAAGTAGAAGTCTACGTACCTGCTTAGTTTTTAAAAGAATTTTTTGTTACAAGAGTTAGTTAGCTAAAAGTCTCTAGGTGGAAGGAAGAAATTTTTGCTTTTCAAGAAATATTATATTGATCACCAAATAGAATGGAGGCTCAAGGATTTTAAATCTTAAGAGGCTATGAATGAAAGTGTATAAATTGGAGCTGACGTGGAGTTCAAGAGTGAAGTGAAGTGATTTGCGGGAGTTGTTAAAACACAACGCAACAAATAAGAAGAGCTCCCTTAAATACTCTAAGTGTCATGGAATGTGTCTATGTCTCCACTATGGAGGGATATTAATAGATTGTGGGAATGTACCGAGCATTTTTCAGAGAAAGGAGTGGGGAATGGAGAGGATAGTCTATTCTGGAAGGATGTTTAGATAGAGAAGGAGACTAATAAATGATAGGTGATGTTAAAAATGAGACTGAGACATGAGGCAAAGCAAAGTTGAAATTGCATGCAACTCTGCACAGAAATGGGAAACATGCTTGCTAAGGAAATATGATACAGGAGGGGAATATATAAGATGAGAAGTGGAAGGAGGCACCGACAGATAAAGATGAGCACTTTGAAGCCTAATCTAGGAGTGAAGAGCTTCTGAGAGAGTGAGAGGATCAAATACCTCCTTAGGTCGGTGGCATTGTAAATCCATGCTTGCTAGATAGGGTTACGTGGTCAAGGTCTAATCAATATTGGTTGTGATCTTCTCCTATTGAGAGAAAAGTTCCATATTTGAAACCTGTTAATATATGACAAAGTTTATGATTTTTATGAGCTAAATTATAGTTTTATCTTCAAAGTATTTTTTCAAAAGGGGGGAGAGAGAGAGAGAGCTATGAGAACCTTAAAGAATTGTGGAAAAATATATCATATAATCCATTTCAATTGGTATGTTAACTACCAGTCTATCACCATCAAGTTTTCAGTAAAATTATCTCCATCAAAATTTGAATTTTTATTGAATAAAATATTTATATTTAATATTCAAATTTGTTTAAAAAAATATTGGCTTCAATAAAAAGATACACATGAGTAATAGAACAAATATCAACCTTAAGTTAATAGTGGGTAAAAAAAAAAAATCTTTCCGTTGTTTTTTTTTAGCCAAAAATCTTTCCATTGTTATTCACTTAACTTTTACTATTGAAAAGATAACATTACACCGATATTTCAAAATTATGCTTTACATTGCTTTATAAAATTTTTTAGGGGTGCTCATGGGTTTTTAAAAAATACTCATAGATCAAAATTATACTTTAATTTAACCCAATTTTTATTTTTATTTTCATTTTTAATTAAAATTATAATTTGTCATGTGATAGAACAATGTAACAAATTCATCCAACATCTGTAAAAATAATACTCGTGGTAAACGTTAATAGTCTCTATTTCGAGATTTTAAATAAGTTCATATTTAAATATATTAATGATAATGATAATGATTTTTTTATTGAATATTAAAAATTTAAATTTAAAAATATAATAAATAATGGAGAATCTCATTAAGGGCTCCCAAAATACAAATTTTGCATTTATGATCCAATAAAATATGAAAATGCACTGCAGGCTCGAGAATCCTTCTTGTAAATTTTGTTATGAATGAAAAGATGTATTTATTTGCTTTTGTCTCAATAGCATGTTCATGTATGCACAACATGATATTTATGAATCCTTAACATAATGTTCATGAATACACAATGCATTTGGTGAACATGATTTAACTTGAAATGAAATGTACAAGTAAGCAGAGGATGAACTGTTCAACCCTGGTTTTGATAATTACAAAATAAAAAGAAGCTTTGTGCGTTTCAGGCTTTCTTAATTAAAATAATTGGCTTAACATTAAAATTGATTAAGTGAGAACTTATACAAACAAAAGATATGCTCTCATGTTAGTTAAGTATTTAACTTAACTATAATCCTTTATGTTTAAAGTTGTCCTGCTGAAAAATATTTCAAAGGGTTGATAACACCGGTACTGGATGCTTTAACACAAGTGTTGCCTCTGTTATCTCCTCTATTCCATTGATTGTTAGTATATATGACACCAGTCCTACTTATTATAACACTTGTGTTACCCTTTTGTACTTACGCAACTGAGTCTCTCTTATTCAAATCTTTTTCCTTGCACTGGTATTATCTTTTTAACATCGGTCTTATTTCTCTTTTATCCTTGGTTATATTAACACCTGTGTTACGTAGTTAGCACTTATACTAAGTTTTGTTCAAATTTGTACGATACGTGTGCTAACATTTTAACACCGGTACTGTCCTTTCTTCTTTTCTTCAAAGAGATTTGATCAATATGTTACCTCGGTGTTATTTTCTTTTAACACTGATGCTAAATAATCTTTTTAGAAATATTATAATTCTTCTAAAAATATCAAGAATCTTCATCTTTTATGTATTAGAAACAATACCTATGTTACAATGACAACACCTATGCTAAAACTTTTCTTTTTTGTCAGTTCATGATTATAACACCGGTGTTAGATCATAGTAACACTGGTGCTTCTATGAAGCTTTGTGCTCTATTTTTTTATATCTCTTTCAAAAGTCTTCATAACTCATCTTTTAATCCTTCTTTTCATCTATAATCAATTGTGTTCACTCTATATCCTTATCAAATGATATATAAACATAATTATCTTCATGAAGTTCTTCTAACTACAAATATTTGTTCTAATTACTGAAGCTTTTCTTCTATTATATCAAAATGTATATGCTTGAATTACTTTTGTCATAAACATTTAATGTTTTTAGTTGTTATTGTACAAAAGAGGAAGTCTCTATCGTAAAGCATCGTATCATTAGCTAGACCACCAGAAAAGCTCGTATATCTAAGGAAACTCAAAGTTAAAAGGAAACAAATGACAAGCAACCTCCGATAAAAAAAATTATGAGTCTAACGGATCATTTATGGTTTTCAACTATAAATAAGATTCATTTATGAAACACGGAAGCAAGAGGAAAAAGCACGAATTGCAAGAACATTCTGCATTTATTAAGTATCAAAGTTTACTTGCCTTCTATGTATCATTTATTGATAAAGAGCGTCATTGATTATATATATACTCTTAAAGAGAGTTTAAAAATAGTAGTAGCTCATTCTTGAACTTACTCCATTTATCCATATTTTACATTTTCAAAACAAAAGAATTTAAGGTCCGGGACCTTAAGGGGATTTATTATTACCTTTGTAAGGGAGAGAATTTTAAACTTATTGAAAAGTCTATTTGTGTACTGTAACAACCAAGAGTCCGGATTGATCTTAGTAATATAATTAGAAATCTCAGGAGGATCCTGAGGGCTGGACGTAGACTCAAGTGGTAGGAGTCAAATCAGGATAAATTATTTGTGTCAAGCTCTATTCTTTTTACTCTCGTGATTGGTGATTTGGTTCCTTCATCTCACTTATTATTATTGCATTTCATTTAAATTTTTAATTAGCCTAATTTATCCCCTCTTGAGGCATTTACATGAATAAGATAATGTTTATTAATATACAACACGATATCAATAAATTCTCAACTTAGTAAATATATATAGACCTGTGACATTTTTATGATATAAAATTCGTAATGAATAACATACTTTTATTGAAACAACATATTTCAAGGTAATGTTTACAAGATATGTTGTACATTCATGAATATTATGTTGAGAATTTATAAATATTATATTATGTATAGATGGATATTTTATTGAGATAAGAATAAATTTTTCTTTTTATCTATAATAAAATTTGCAAAAAGAATCCTCAAACTTAATGTGCTTTTTCAGATTTTATTAAATTTTAAATATAAGTTTTTATGTTTCAAGGGCTAAATGAGATTGCCGCTGTATAAAATTCTCACTATATAAATAATTAAATATCCCATAGGTATGAGTACTTCCCGACCTCATGCATCGCATGAAAAGATAAATAATTTGAGAGTGAAAAGTAAAACCTGACGATTGCCGGTGTTCGATGCAAGGGAGATGTATAAGAGCTGTCCAGTAGTTGTCGTTGGCAAATTATTTCCCTGATTTGCAATCGGAGAAGAGGAAGGGCGTCGCGTGCTCGCTATTGCAGTATAAACTCGATCCTCTTCGATTCGACTCTCAAGGCTTCGACAAAATGAACGACGCAGGTGTCTCCAAGCAAATCCAGCAGATGGTGAGGTTTATCCGCCAGGAAGCTGAGGAGAAAGCCAACGAGATCGCTGTCACCGCTGAAGAAGTACCACTCTATTCTCTTTGATTTCTCCTTTTAACGATTTCGATCTTTTATGTTTTCTCCTTTGAACTACCAATTGTTGTACGTGTGCCCGCTTGTTTTATTTTAGATCACCATTGATTCGATGTTGAAGAGTTGTTCGGTATTTGTGCAGGAATTTAACATCGAGAAGTTGCAATTGGTTGAAGCTGAGAAAAAGAAGATCAGGCAAGAATACGAGCGCAAAGAGAAGCAAGTTGAAATTCGGAAAAAGATGTAACTTACTTTCTACCTCAGTGTACTTCGGTTTTTCCCCCTCTCCTTATATATTCTTGAATTCGAAATTTTACATCGTTTCGAGATTCAATTAATCTTAAACCGTTGCCACCTGGGGGTTATTAATTTAAGTCCAGGGTATTGCTCTACGGAGCTCCTGACCTCTAAAGAACTTAGATTTTTCACCATTAGGACCACTTTGAGATTAAAAGGGTGTCGATTGAGATTAATTGATGCATGGAACAATTTAATTGCAGTGAGTACTCTATGCAGCTAAATGCTTCTCGCATAAAAGTTCTTCAAGCGCAAGATGATGTGGTTAATTCCATGAAGGAAGCTGCAGCGAAGGAACTTTTGAATGTGAGTCATCACCACCATCACCATGTGTACAGACAGCTTCTGAAAGATCTGATTGTTCAGGTAAAAATTGTACACTTCCATGTTTGATCATCAGTGTAAATTGTTATTATTGTCGTTGTTGTTGTCGTCATCACCACCTCCACACCATGATACTGTGACAACGTATTATTTGTATACGTGTCAACATACCAGTGTGTATCATGAGACTATTTTTGCTTATATCTGTGAGACCACTGAACCCATGCCATCTTTAAAAATCACGCCATAGCAAATTCTGATGTTATTTCATTGGCAACTTACCATCTGTAAGCATGTGGACTTGGACTTTAAAGGAAGTATTGCCTGTTGCAGAGTTTGCTAAGACTGAAAGAGCCTTCTGTCCTTCTGCGATGTCGGAAAGAAGACCTACATTTGGTGGAGCATGTGCTGGATTCAGCTGCACAGGAGTATGCTGATAAAGCAAATGTTCATCCTCCAGACATAATTGTTGACAAACAAGTCTATCTTCCTCCGGCACCTAGCCATCACAATACTCATGAACCCTACTGGTAATGTTATGTCAAAGTTGAATCCCAAGTAATTTTTTTAGATTCAATTCTTATTTGGACATAAACTGTCCACTATGTGGGACTTTCATTGTTTTTATTGGGGTGGCAAGTTATAAAGTTGTCTAGCATTGTCCATTTGTCCTTGATTCTACTGTGTAACATCTTCTTTCCTCTTCGTTGTTATCTTTTGTTTCATTCAGGGCATATAGGAAAAGCATCATATTTAAAATATATGAAAGTAGCCAGCAATCTAGTGTTGTATTTGTTTGAGTGTGCTTCCTTTATTTTTCTTTCTTGTATACAGTGATCTAATTATATTTGCCATTGACCAGTTCTGGAGGTGTGGTTTTGGCATCTCGAGATGGGAAGATTGTGTGTGAAAATACCCTTGATGCTCGGCTGGATGTTGTGTTCCGTAAAAAGCTTCCAGAGGTAATTTTTTTATGTGAAATGTCAGCCTTTTGATTTATTTCAATTTGTTACTGCTAAGTGCTAACTAGCTCTATGTATGGGAATTAGTAGTGCTTGTTATCTTTGCCAAAGATGATGATACATTTTCAATTACGTTTTAGCTACCTGTATCATTTTAGAAAGGTAATTGTGTGAACATCTCATGTTTCTTCTTGTGTTAATAATCTGGCGAAATATTATTAGATGTGGATGCCGATGTTGAAATAATTACTTTGGGTTCATTATTTAAGAATGCAATGGTCAATTGAGACAGCAAACTTGAATGAGGGTGTGGGACGGTGGGACGGACTTTAGGATTGTTGTTTGCTCTTAAACAAGAAAAAGGGACTGAGTTCTTTCAACATTTGAACGAAGAAACGCAAAGCAGTAGTTGGTTCTCAAAACATTATAGCATTCATAATTCATTTTGGTATCTCTGGATGTGATTTTTTTTTCCCTCTTGAGGAATGCCATGCCGCCTCATTCGTCAATATGTTCAATTTGAGCACTTTATTTTACTAGATTTATCATCAACTCCAACATCTTCTGGTTGGTGGCTTAAATAGATGACATTCAGTTTCTTTCTCTGTCCTTTTGCCAATTGTTGATCTCTCCCACCTTAATAGAAAGGCCATTATTGTCTGACTTCCTTTGGCACTTTTTTTATATTTTGTTTGCATTTAGTTGATGTGGTGGTCTTCAAGCATTTAGTAACACTTGAATGTATTAGATGAAGTAGTTAACCTTGTCCATTGTGAAAGCCCTGATGAAGATTGCTTTTCTGTTTTGCAGATTCGCAAGGAGCTCTTTGGACAAGTTGCTTGAAGTCTTTGATTGTACTGTAGCTGCCCCTTTAATATTTATTTTGAACCAGAAGCATCTGTCGTGCCAATGCTCATGTATTCTTATGAGCATCATTGCCCCCTTAAATTACTTCATTTCGGTTGTCTTAGCTTTGTTCCTTTTGGTATGTGGTGGCAACTCATGAATTTCTTGGATTATTGGCAATAAATCTTTGGTTCAGCATATTGTTGCTTAAGCTTCTTTGGTGATGGTGTTGTAAAATCTGTTGAACTTAGCTTTAGTGAGGGCAATAATTATTCTTTTATGATGTAAGTTTGGTAATTTGAATGAAAAACTTATATGTGTAATGCATTTTCTAGATATCCATTCCTTTATTTATTATACCGGAACACTACCATGTTCCCTACATTTCACATGTTGCAATATTGCATGAATTTTCCATTGGGAACAATTGAGAGTAAAAACTTATAAGCGATGAGAAATAATCGAAAAAGTATATGAGCCAAGCTTTAATATGCCTAGTACATGCTGTGGCCATGCTCAGCCAGTAAATCCATTGAGTTCGAGTGATGACAACGGATGGAACTTGGGCTTGGGTGAGTTGGTGAGGATTCGGAAAAATGGGTGTACTATCCTAGCATTGTTTCTGTGTAGGATTAAGAAGTTGATGCTAAGTTGGTTAGTTTGGCAGTGGACCAAGAATTTGCAACAGAAACGGTTTTTTAAAAGTAGGCTGTGTGAAGAGAAGCTGTGGAATCAGTACCTTCAGGAATTAGTGCTGATCGTGCTTCTTCTTCTTTTTTATTGAAGTTACAAGTGGCAGCATGCAGTGTCAAATTCGCGATCAGGCACAAGCAAAGTTGATAGCCTGATCGAGCTTAATTGATACGGATGGGAGAGCAAAGGTTGGATTAGGTTCTCTGGGACGCCTTAGTGTGGTTACTGGTTAGTTGTTTATGTGGATAGTAGAACTGGTAATTCAATCAGATTAAGCGTATATAAATTGAGTTTAGAATATTTGAACATATAAAAAGCTCATATAACAAAAATTTGCTGTAACATCTTGACCTTTCAAGCTTATTCAAGCTATTATAAATATTTAAATTGTTAAATATTATTTTATTTTAATTTTTGTTCCTTTTAGTTGATTTCATTGTTAAAGTGAGACCAAACATTAAAAAAGTAAAAATGAAAACATATGAAATAACCTCTTCTATATTTTTCTTTAATATTTTCAAAAAATATTCAAAACAAATAGTTATTAAAACATTAAAACTTCATTTAGGAATGAAAAATGTACGAACTAGGAGTTTGGGAAAGGGTTTGTCAATGCTAATTGAAAGATAAGTTAAAATTTAATTTAATTTCATTAATAAGAAAATTGAATATTCAAGTTAAACATATTTGCTCAACGCTATTGAATGGATAGATTAGAATTTTAAAAAAGAAGCAAGGAATGTTTCTACCAAGCAAGTACCTTGGAACGTGCTTTTTGGTTATATATGTTGAGATATCTGATGTGAGCGCTATTAGCTCGTGTTTTCTACTGAGGATACGAAAGTTACAAGATCTGATCCAGCAACATTTTACATAGCTAAAGCAGAACTTAACTTATTTCATACTTCAAACAAGCTACGAGGAACAAATATAATTTTTTTGGAGAAGTGGTCCAAACCAAAACCAAGTGAAGTTCGCTTAGATATTGATGAATCTGTCAAAGATGAGATAGCCAAGTGTGGAGGGGTAATACAAGATAATTCTACTAATTGGGTTGCAGGTTTTAATGCTTGTATTGGCTCCTTTCCTGTTGTCATTACTAAACTTCTAGGAATCACATATGGATTACAACTATGCTGGATCAAAGGTTTTTATAAGGTTCGAGTTTTTATTGATTGTGTAAAAGCTCTCAATCTAGTCTACTCTATTGACTGTGAGTTACACCTGTACAAAGATATTATTGATCAAGCTCGATTGATGCTGCTTTGGAATTAGGAAGTTACGATTAATCTCATGTATAGAGAAGCAAACTTTTGTGCACATTTTTTAGCGACTAATGCTACCTCTAGTCTAGGGTGGAATTTCTTTGATCATTCCCCATCTTATTCTCTTAAGGTGATGGATGATGATAGGTTATGTTCTCTAGCTTTAGGCTAGGTTGCTTGCATTTTGATGCTTTGATTCATGTTCTAGTAAAAAAAATAAAGAGAGAAAAAAAAATTAAACTCTCAAACTTAGCTTTAAAATTTTTCAAGCTTATTCAGGCCAATCTATTAGGTTTAGTTTGAATTACTGGTTTTAAAGGATAGAAATTCATCTTAGAGTATTTGACTTCATATTATCATCAGGAATCCTTGCTTAGGTGAAAAACAACTATTATTAACTAAATATTAAGGTTTCATTTGGTTATTAAAAAGAAATGGAATATAATGGATTGAAAAGAATAAAGAAAAATGAACTAAATTACTATTCTCCTCTAACAAGTATAGTAAAACTCATTAATATATATTATAATCATCACTTCTTTTAAAAATCTCATGAATTATGGTACTTAATTTCATAAACTAAATTACCCTTTCTTTTTATAAATGTGTGTTAATTCTTTTTGATAATCTTATTTTTATCTTTATATTTTTAATTCATTTTATTTTATTTATTTTTAATAAGCAAATAGGACTTAAAATGTGTCTGCATACTTTCTCAGTTGCTCTCCTTTTATGTCGTTTCTTTAAAAGAAGAAGAAGAAGAAGAAGAACACGATGGAAGTTTACAGCTGCAAGAGCTGGTTTAATGCGATTGAGAAAGGTGATTGTAGTGGTGGGGCCCATTTGATCTTTAAATTTGTTTTTGAGGGTTTTTGAGGATTTGCTTCTGCCGGATATAATGGCCACGATGGCATGATCACACAAGGCCCATTGGCTTTGTGTTCTCTCTCTCTCTTTCTTTTGTATTTTTTTTTAAATTGCATATAAAGGCAAAAGCCTATTGATTGAAAAAGAAACTCCAGGATAAATTAACCCACACTTGGAAAGTCTGTACCTGAGACCATAGCTCATGATAACTAAATACTATGATGTTAGTTTTATAAGTAAATTTTATTGTTGATTTGAAAAGAGTGCATTGTATGCTAGCCCATCAGCATTTATTTCCTTAAACATGTGAATTGTGATCATTAGACACTTAGTATGTGTGTGTTTGATTTTTAATTTATTAAAAGTTTATTTGATAAAAATTAATTTAATAAAATTTAATTGTTATAATAAAATTTATATTTAAATATATATTTTTAAAAGTCAGTTTAATAAATTAAAAATTATTTAAATTAATGATGATTTGTTCTCATGAAGGAGGGTAAGTAGGATTTGTGGCCTCTCATGCTTTAAAATTTCTTTTACAAATGCATAAAATTTTGTTTATGAACAACATTGAAATTAATCTTAGGCTTAGTCCCTTATTTTTAGATAAAATTTCAGTTAATGATTATTGGATTCCTCCTTGAATCTTACGTAAGGATTTCACTATTATCTTCAGATTTCCAAAGGCTGGTGCAACCTACCTTGAATTTTGTCTTCTCTTTGAAGATTTTATTGCATCTTGCCCTTTTTATTCAAAAAAAAAAAAAAAAAACCTTTGAGAAGTCGCTGTTGAAATTCTGTCTCCTTGGTATTCATAAATTGAGAAACTTCCAGACTCTGGTTCTTTCAACAGTGGAGGATCAAAAGGGGAGTGAGAGATATATTCAACTAAACCATGTTTCAATGGAGTCTGCAATTGCATGTGGGTTTTCACTTTTGTTTGTTTGTTTGTTTGTTGTTATTTTTTTTTTTTAATCATTTTGGTGAATGGGTTTTCACTTTTTTGCTACCCCGCCCGAAGGGGCTCTTTAGTGATTGATCATTTGATGATCTTTGACCCATGTTATTCATTGGGGAATAAACAATAATAATACAAAAAAAAAGCTTTAATTTTATTACTTTTATTCTTATATCATATTTGAATCGTCTTTATAATCTCTCTAAATTTTTTTATACACAATCTCAAGTATTTATTTAATTGTTGTTTGGGTTTAATGGTATGAAATTACTAATTATAAATGGCATGAAAATAGATATAATATTCATTTAATGGTTATCATTAATAAGTATTGTGATCTTATTTTTAAAAGCATTCAATTGATGATAATGAATAACTTATTTATTTTAATTTCTCAATTAACAATATCACACCATAAAACCTAAACAATAATTAACTAAGTGATAGAGATTAAATATGGAGAGATATAGTGAGAGAAACATAGTCATATTTTAATATATTTAATTTTGTATGTTATATTTTTCATTGTTTTCATGGATGACATATCCAAATAAATATTTTTTTAATTTAAATTGTTTCTCCTTTTCTTCACACACACACATTTCAATTATAATATCAGCCAAAATTAAGAATAAAATTGATCAAAATTGCTTGCAGATTATATATTGCTTAATTTAATTTAAAAAAAGCCCAATACAAATTCACTTATTGATACAAAAGAAATTAAATCTAAACTTAATAATAACATAAAAGTGTATTATACATATGTATTTTTAGATTAATTTTTTTAGACTAAAATACATAAAACTCTTCTAAATTTTGACGTAGTTTCATATGACCTTTTCTATTATTCAATGTTTGAAATTAACCCTCTTAATCTTTCATTTTATTTTTTAAAATCCTACCATTAATTAACTATTATTGTATTCATATAATTATTGACATGTCATATTAATGCAATACACAGGGTATATGGCATGAAATTTTTTTATTATTTTTTAACACAACTTAAGGAGGGATAAAATTATAATTTTTATTTTCAACACACTTGACAATGCTCTTATTTTTTTTTTAGTTCAACAATATTATTATCATTGTTTATGGCTGATACAATTTAAGAAAAAAAATTATAATTTTGTTATTTTTATCAATTAAAATAGCATTTTATGTTAAACAAATGAAAAGAAAATTATTTAAAAGCTATTATTAATAAGAATTATATAAATAAAAATTTATCCTTTAATGCAAGAAAACTATGATATTTGCAAGTTTTTTTTAATAAAATTAATACAAATCATCAATGGCAAAAAAAAAATTATTCCAAAGCAAAACATACTTTTTGTTTGAATAATTACTGAAAACTTTATTCAAAGAAAAAAATAACAGCCACAAATGAATAAGAGTTTGAAAAAAAAAAAGGTAACAAAATTTATATGACTTTTATCAATGACATTTTTTAATTATGTTTCTTTTCATTTATTTAATATAAAAGGATATTTAAATTGATAAAAAAATAATAAAATTATAATTTTTATTTTAAATTATATTACTCATACACAATAAAAACAATATCACTCAACTCAAAAAATGACAGAATCGTGTGTTCAAAAAATTATAATTTTACCCATTCTTAAATTGTTTTAAAAAAATGATAATTTTTTTATGTCATGTGCTACATGTATTATATTAATATGGTATGACAATAACTATATTGATAAAATAATAGTTAACTAATGGTATGGAGTTTTAAAAAAAAATGAAAAGGTCTTATATAATTATTTTAAAATTTATGAGAGTTTCATGTATTTTTTGTTTTAATACATAGACATTAATCTTTTCCCGAAATCTCCCTCTCCCAAAACTTGAATCCTGGATCTGTCCTGTTCCAGGCTATTGATTATCCGGAGTTTACGGTGCTAGGCGACAATCAGGCATTCTTGCTATTAATCATTTGTTCATTTAGGTCAAAATACAGAGCGTATTCTTGATTTCCCGGAATGGCAAGGCAAACCAAGTTATGGCAGTTACATTACAAGAAGAAGAAAAAATATCAGCTCTCTGACGGGAAAACGTGAAAAACTATGGAAAATTGCATTCAAGAACTGGTTGAGTTCTAGTCACAGACGCTGAGGGCATTTTACTAGTGCCAACCCACCTACTCTGAAGAACCAAATCTTCATCGGCTTGTCTTTCCATGACCCTAATCTTCTTGGCCTTCAGAAGCCTCATCGATGAAACCCCCACATAATAAGTCACGGAAATCAAAACCATGAATCCCACCACAGAACCAATCATCCACACGTACCATCGTCGTCGCTTCTTCTCCAAGGGAACGACAATCGAGAAGTGACCTTCTTCTCTGGAGTGACACACGTTCTGGGACATCATCTCACTCAGATAAAATGTTCCATTCGCACTGAAAGCTACACATCTTGCCTTCGACTTCACGCCACCCATGAACGCATTATTCGGGAACTGAACAGATATAGGTTGCCCCGTGGTGCTAAGAGTCAGATTTCTGATGCGGAAATCTGACACATTAGAGGCATCAAAAGCCATGAAACCTACAACTGAAGTGACGAGCGAGTAACCTGGCAAAGTGTAGTAACGGGAAGACCAATTGCCCAAGTTCTGACACACGATGGCCAATCTTCTGACGTAGGGGATGGTGATGGTTCTTGGAGGGATTCGAAAATAGCTGAAATTAGCGCCTCTCTTCCAGAGTCTTCGGCTCCGAAGACGAACCACTGAAACATCCATGCCTGACAGATTCTGTGGAAGCATAGCATCGTAGAGAGCACCCGTATGAGGGCGGTGCTTGAGCACCGTTCTGTAAGCATATTCTTGAACAAAAGAGTTCAACGATTGCGTGGCGGAATCCTCCGAGCTGCGCGCAAAAGAACAGAAAAGTAAGGTGAAAACCAAGGAGATGAAGAAATCCCAGCTCATGCTGGATCCCATTAACGCATAAGCTAAAAGAAGAAAGTGGAGGAGTTGAATCAGCGGATCAAGATTGAGTTGATTTGTTGGGTATGTAAAAGGGCAGCAATGGAGGTGTGTGTGTTATGATTCCAATGATGCAAAGTTTCAACAAAGAAGGAAGGCATGCCGAGGTTGGGACCCAAGAGGAGGACTCAAAAGTCGCAATTGACTTAGGCATTGTGATGAGTGATGACTGGGGGGAGATGTCTCCTTTATCACTTGCTCGGCGTGTGAAAGTGAGAGAGAATCTCTCACGTTACGATGCGGCCGAGAAGCCACTTTGGTGATCCTAAGCGGGAAGAAATTCAGTAAATGGAGGAGATGATGGTGGTGATGATGAATCCAACTCGACGACTGAAAAAGAAGAGAGGACAAAGGCAGGAGAAGGGAGGACATGTAGGCCCGGCCCGTTCCATGAGCAACATCCGACCAGCCGAGCAAAGTGAAAAAGGCATGTGGAGACATCTTTACGCGCCCCCACGCCCCGGGAGGCTAGGGTTTCTCCCATTTTAATTTTTGGGGAGCTCATCACAACATGGAATGGGAAAGTGAAAGCCCAGTAGGCCCAGAAAGTGGGCAAGGCTATTGGGCTTAAACTTATGGATATTGTCAGCCCAATTACCATGATGAAAAGAAATAGATGACCTCAAAAAAAAAAAAAAACAGGGTGATCTGCAAACGAATATTTTTAAAATAAGTCAATTTTATATTTACAATCCATGCACATGTATCAATTTCAAGATAAGATCAGACATAAAATGTCTATTCTTAATTGAGATTTGAATTTTGGTTTATTGCGTTGTAGGAAGTAGCCCTTTGAATTAATCCTCTCGGGCCTCAGATCCAAATGCATATAGTTCAGATAATGGAATCAGTGTATAAATAATTTCGGCTTTATGCATTTCGCGGAGCTTAGAAAGGAAACCACGTGCTGGAATCAGACTCTCTGGATGCTGTTAATTCTATTATGAGAAACTTGGACTGCTCCCGTCATCATCATAGCCTTAAAGAAGAGATCCGAAGAATGATGGGTCGTTCTCGGGAAGTTACAGTAAGACAAAGTCTTCGAGCAGGGAATGCTGCGGCAGATCGTCTTGCCAAGGAAGCTCTTCATGAATGGCCTGGTTTTTATCAGCTTTGTTTACTTCTTCTGCTCTTGCTAGCTTACTCGTTGAGGATAGGAATAATTTGAGCAGCCTCTAGGCTGTTCCCTCGTCTTCGTTATCAAAAAAAGAAAGTAAATCACGTCATTCACACACACACATATTGATGGCCAAGTTATATTACTTTTAAATAAATATTTTTTGTGCACATCATATATGTACTCTCTTTAGTCCTTTTTATTTTTAATAGCCAATGGGTGGCCTGGGTAGAAGTTTTTGGCCTTTTTTATGAGACATATGAGATCTTTATTTCAACTTTTCTATATTCCCTTTATTTAATGTTGATTCATTAGTCTAAAATTCCATCATATGCATGTGGGTTTAAATAAAGGTAAAAATCGAAAACTTATTTAATTTCTAGATATTGCTGATAAATTTTAAGCATCTCCTCAATTTCAACAATAATATTAAAACTTAAAAGTATCTCATAAAAAAGATTGAATGCATTGGAGCAGCACACTTTTAGAAGTGTGTACGGTAAATAAATTATTCCACTAAAGGTGAAAAATCCCTTTTCTACAAAATCAATTAGTTTTCTGAATTAAGCAAAATTAGATTTTAACTGATTCAAATTAAAATGGGTGAATGAGATGAGCATTGAGGTTGATATTCATGATAATAAGTTTAAAATATTACTCTTATTCTTATTATTTATATAAGTCGAGAATGTGTTATTCCTCACTAATAATTTTTAGCCAAAATATATAGCTAATGCTATTAATACAAGCCAAGCCACGGGTTACAGGTTGGCTTGCTATGGGTTAGAAGTTGTGCAGTGTGGATTGACATAACCCACATTTTAGTGGGTTGCATTTCTACTTTATGAGTTACAGGTTGGTAAGCTAACTTGTGAATTAAATATTTTTTTACATTTTTTTCATTTTTAAAAATTTTAAATCTATCTCTTTTTATTTTTTTTATTGTAAAAAAATTATATTTTACTCCTAAAACTAATTGCTCAAATAATAATAAAACTCCTTTTAAATCATTAAAAAATATGTTATAAATTTAAAATACATTAATACAATTCAAAATAAATATTTACTCCATCACGAACAAACATTATGCCTATCAGCTATATTTTAATTTGTTTCATTATTCACTCAACTGTGAAGTGTCATCTAATAATTTTGATAACTATGATCATAAACATGATAAAATCTTAATTATTATCATGTATAAGATGTCCGTGTTTTATGTAACACTATAAAATTCCTCAAATATGTGAGGATGTAAAACATTTTATTTTTACATGTACTATACATTAAAGCCTCTCTTCTTTTGATGCAGGGTTACTAGGTTGTGTACTTGTATTATTAAAATTAAAGGAAAACATATATTTTATCTGATCTTATTTATAAATTATTTTTAGTATGTTTTATTAAAATTAAAAAACATTTTAAATTTTATTAACTTTATCTTAAAATTTAATAAATTTTTACCTTTATCCCTAATAAATATTTTTAAATCTTATTATTGGTATATATTTTTATTTAAAGCACTTAATGGAGGAACAATTGTAAAAAGGAACATTAAAAATTGACAAGTGTCTTATAAATAAGACTAAATTTTTCCTTCTCTCTCTACCCTGAAAATAAGATCAAATGAGTAATTAACTGGGAAAAACTTATAAAATTAGCCTTATATATTTTGTATGTTTGTTTTCAATTAAATCAAGATATATGAATTTTTTTATAAATTATTTATTGCATAATAAATTCTTATTATTAATTTTATTAATATAATAAGATCCATTGGTCATGATTTAATTGGCTACAAGTATATAAAGTTAAGTCATATATCTTACTCTGAGTAATATGCATCAAATAACATTAGTTATTTATATCAAACATGTTCATATTGTCGAAGAGTGAAGTTGATTGATGAATGTGAATGAGAAGGTGATGGTAAGGGTTTTGTGTAGAGTCATAACATTTTTTTTTTAAAAAAAATAAGTAAGTTAACTTGCCAACTTATAAGTTAGTCCATGGTGGGCTCAAGTTATGTGACAAGTTAAATTTAACTTACATATAAATGAATTTATTTTTGCCAACCCACCTCTCCATTGTTCGGTGCATGTTAGGTTTGCGAGTTCAACCCATATCATGAGTTCTAGATATAACATCTCTTGAACTTTGAACCACACACATATAACATTCCTCATCTTCAAAAGAAATATAAAAATCACATCCTTAACTTTTAAATTTTGACCACAAACCCCTTATTGTTAAAATCTCTGTTAAATTTATCAAAATACATGCTCTAAACTAATTTGTGCTTGGGCAATTTTGTAATTTTAATGATAGCAATCCCTAATTCCTCTGGCCCTTAATTGCGTCCTCTTGCTTTCTTCGTCCCTGGGAGTCCTTTTCTTTCAGTGATGGCTGTTTCATGGGTAGGTTTCTCTCTTTAGCTTTTTTTTTTCGACTGTAAATTTGAACCATTTAAATTACATTTATATTTTTAAAAATTTTTAAATTCAATTTAACAGCTTAGATCTGCACTGTTTTTTCTTTTGCTCTCCTTTGAGAGGAGAAAATTCAACTCCTTGCTTCATAAACTCCATTTTGTGCAAGAACCGAATCGTTATGACCAATGAGAGGAGATCGACGGATGCAATAAATTATAAATAAGAAGAAATATGATCAAAATTCCATAATATAATCATAAAGATATTTTATATCGATTTTTTTTATATCTTCACAAAAAAACCAAGGTTTTAAAAACCGGATCGGTCATTGAACCGGACGAGGCACTGGTTCACGGTTCATTGGTCGAACCGTGGTCGAACCGGGGTCGAACCGGTTGATATTAAATTAATATATTTTTAATTTATATATCATAATTAAATAAAAAATACATTTAAATATGCATTTTTTCAAAAATATATTATAGATGCTTGATAATATAATTTTTTTATTGATAAATACATAATTAATATTAATTATAACTGAAGCTTTTCATTTAAATATCAAGAAAGATGTAATTTAATTTTAATTTTAATTTATTTTTTTTATTTTTTTATTTTTTCCGGTTCTTTCATGAGAACCGGTCCGGTTTTTGTCCGGTTTTACCAGTTTTTGACCGGTTTAACCGGTTGTTGATTGGTTCTCTGCTGACTGGTTTTTAAGAGTCGACCGAACCGGACCAGGAGCCGGTTCTCGGTTCAACCGGTTGAACCGGCCGGTTCGGTCTGGTTTTTAAAACCCTGTAAAAAACATACGATATGAAAGCCAAGAGGAAAGGGAGACATTTAGCTGTGGTTGCCGGTTGGACCTTGACATTTTTATGAGTTGTCAGGTACAATCAAGATTGGTTTTTGACATTAGCTCATCTTATATAAATGATCCTAAGAAATTATTAATGTTTTCCAACAAAGAAGATGATCAAATGTTTAAGGAAACAATTCCAAGATTTGAAAAAAAAAAGAAGATAAGAAGTCGAATAACAAAATGAAAAAGATGACCAGAAGTAGAATGAAATATTACAAATAGAGAAGACTTACAACTTGAGAGATACGGAGAAGGAACACAAGACAAGGGAATGTAATGAATAGAATAGAATCACAAAATTGTCCCTTAGAAAATTAATATAAATTAATAAAAGACAACAACTAATATGTCACTTATTAAATAATTTTAAATAGTCTGACGTGGCATGCACTTGGTTAAATTTAATGGTCATTTTAACTGCAAGGGCTTGATGGTTAAATTTTGCAATTTAAGGGTCCGATTTTTATATTTTTGAAGATAATAGAAGTTATATGTATTTTAACTTTATTTTTAAATCTGGGCGAGAAAGAAAATTGCCAGATCTGCTGATCGATGAAGACATGGGGAATTATTCGGCTCATTAAAAAGTTAAATTCTGACTTGACAATGAACAAGACAAAGGGAATAAGATCATGTTCGCGTGACTCCTGAGCCCCTTGTCCTAACTTGCTGATTCTTTCAATATTGAATAATTTGAGAGAGAGAGAGCGATGCCTTGCGTGAGGGTTCTGGACTTGAAACGACGAGAGATGCCAGTGAGAGTTATTCTCTCTTTTATGCTCTTTTTATTTATACTGACTATTAAATTAAAACTCATCCAGCTTCGTGAAGTCATATCAATAAAAGTACACCCAATGGAATCTGTAAAAACGATTCTCTCACTTCCCAATTATTCCAAGCATTGAATACATATCTACACATATGTATAGAAGTAACGAGGAAGAGGACAGCATATTAGGCCATATATATAGTTTATGTATATACCTTATCCTCGAAAAAAAAGGAGAGATTATGACTTCCTTCAAAGTTAACCTCTTAACCTTGCATTTGCGAACAATCGTTCTCGACATGGTTGTTTAAGAGAGAAACTAATACAGTAGTACCACTATCAGCCAAATTTTATAAATTAAACATTGATATTATATACTGCAAATGGTGTAATTTCCTGTATTTCTTTTTTGGTGAAATGTTTCATATACTATATTTATATGTTATAGGTTGAATATTGATTATACATGACTTGTTGGTGATAAAAAGTTTCTCCCAAGAGTGTCTAAATAAATTTGAAAATCAAACCCATTTTATGCAGTTCAAAATAATGTTTCAAGTGCGAACTGTACATATATATCTATATCTATACATTTGTGACTTAAAATAATCCCGTTTACCATTTATCTAGTTCAGGCAAGTTATTAGTATATCTTCATCAAGGTGTATAAAGTGCCTGAAACTGAGATATCATTCCCTTGAACAGGCTAGAGGAGCATCCACATAATACATGTAACAGAAACACAAACTCATACACAGAGGCCAAGGCGCAAAGTCATGTCAGGGCTCTAGCACGATCTATCCAATTGGATGTATATAAAATTGAAAGAAGTAAAAAATGGCGCCATTATGGCCTAGCATTGATTCTCGTTTTGCTATGCTCCGTCTCCACATGGTCATCTCATGTTGCAGACACGAATCTCCGGCTCAGTATTTGTATCTCATATCCTTTTTTCATTTTAGGGTTGTACTTTTCTTACTCGTTATGGCCCATCCATTCCAATCAGGAGGTATATATCCAAAAATTTTATATTTAGAGCAGAAGATCGTGGCACTGAATGTATAAGAATTGAGGAGATAAGGGTGAAGCGGTTAGAAAAGGCGGAGAATAATTAACACCAATTAAAATGAGTCTGTAGAGGGTATATTTAGAGAAATATTCTTTTATGTTACTCTCTCTAAAGCTGAAGTGATTAATTAGAGATACCCATAAGAAAAAAAGTGTGTTTGGGACTAAGGGAATTAATAACATTCAGAATGCATGGCAAAGGCAAAAGCCGGAGACATGAGTCCAAAACATGAGACCTCTGCTCCCACTTCCTCTTTTGCCATCCTGCTCTTTTCCTTGAGGTGACCTCCCATCTCTCTTGTCACACATCGAATCTTTTGTCATCATTCATTCATTGGAATGTTTTATGCCCATATTCTCTTTCAAAAAGGGTAAAACGTTATACGTTATAATTCAAATGAATAAGGAAAAATTTTAGCTAGGGAGTCCTGATCAAAATATTAAAAACAAAAACTCTAAAATTTTTAAAATTTCATTGTACGAATTGGTTACTGAATTGAAATTAAATTTATGATGAAAATGATAAAATTACCCTCATTTAATTGAACAACATATTGTAGATAAGAGGACTTGTTCGTTTTCATACTGTATGTTATTCATTAACTTATAGAATATTATTAATTACCCAACATCACTTGTTTACAACCCTAATTTTACCTGATTTCATTTCAAGTATTTATTTCATGATAAAATGACTTATTTGTTATTATGTTGTATGCTGTTTATTTACTTATAAAATATTATTTGTTTCCCTGCTTCACTTGTTTATGGCCCTTGAAATAAAATCAAGTGAAAATAAAACTAAAAACAAGTGGAGTAAAAAAATGAATAACATTTTGTAAGTAAATGAATAACATATAATATGATAATGAATAAGTCATCTTATCTACGGTATGTTATTCATTTTAATGAGTATTATTTTATCATTTCCATTATAAATTTAATTTCAATTCAATACCCGATATTTACGATGAAATTTTAAAAATTTTGATGTTCTCTTTTTCATTATGTTTGAACAAGGATCCTCATTGAAATTTTTTCAATTAATAATTTCCATCTGTCAAAGAATAAATTATACATTGATATTGAGTTTCACGTTTGGCTAGTACTTTTTAAAGTTCATGCCTCGACGACAATGCATCAAACTAGTTTTCTGTTGCGTATATTGGGCTCCAGAGCGAAGCACATTTGTGATATATAATTAAAATATACTCACTCAAAAATTTGAATGTTCCCATCAAACTTTTGACACACTACAAAGACAGAAAGGCTATTGTACGTCATGTCAAAATAGGTTTATACCAGTCTAAAGCGTTGTCATTCACCAGCTGGTAAACTGAAATTCTAATAACATTAGGCTTTCTCTTGGAATCTCTAGGGTTTCAAATGTCTTTTCATTCGTTTTCTCTTATTGATAAAATCTGAAATTTATAATATAGGGAGACATATATATGGTACATTTACAGAAGAAGCACATATGCCTCTTGTGAGCCATTTGTTTTTAGCCAAAAGGAGATTAATTAATCTTGTTAAGCAAAAGTTGGCTAAAAACATCGAATAGTTGAAAGAATCCTCTTCTTTCCCACTATAGACGGCAGAAGTATAAGGTAATGACATATCACATATATAATAGCTACAGTCTGCAGAGACTGAGAATATATAGCACACGCTAATAAAGAAAGCAGGCACGCCATGTCGATCACCATACAAGTGCATGTCTGTTATAAGCTGAAGTGTATATATTTCTTAAAAAGAAAGAAGACTATATGTCGATCACATCACTGGTCTTCTTCTGTTCTCCTGACTTCGATATATTAGATATTAAATACTCAAAGTCGCCATACGTGGATGCTAATATTTGTCATCGTTACAAAAAATAACTGGCCAAGTCTAGTGTTCCAGCAAGCTGATGAGAGATAAGTGAAATATGAAATAATAAATAACCTTATCTCCTTTATCTTTTTATAACAGAAAATTGATCAATCAGAGTCACTTGTGTATTGTTTAATCTGCTTATTTGAAACGTTGAGCTGATTACTCGTCTCCTTCGGCCTTATATAAAGCCCATCCTTCCATGGAAGGCTCATAATTCATCGAGGCTAGCTGTGTAGTGCACTGAAAGAGGGTAAGAGAGCTTCCTTCGGTCCACTCATGGGTAGCTTTAGGGTTTAATTGGCTGCCGACTCATTCATCCAAATACTGAGTCAACCAAACGAAGACACTCTTTTGCTCAGTAAATGAGTGAATGATGCGGGAGACGATTTGAATCTTAAGCTTCCAGCGCTTGGACTGAAGGGAGCTCCCTTCTTCTATCTTTTGTTTTTATTATTCCTCTAAGTTTCTAACCCCCTCTCCTTTTTTTTTTTATATCTCTTTCATATATATGCATCTTCACTTCCTCTGTTGTTTTTCTGTTTGCACTTTCCTGGTTAAGTGTGTGAATATATGCATTCCTGCAGCTAAACTTTCATCTATATACACATATAGAAAAAGGCATGACATGCTCCACGAGTTAATCAGTTTTCTTATGTTCGGGTTTCGTCAAGTTTTGGGCCAGGAAAACCTTTTGTAAATGTTCTTGTTTGCTGTCGAAACATGATTAGGTTAAGGTTTGCTGGTTGAAGCATTGATTTGTTCTGCGAAGCGCATCGTTATGATGCCCTGTGGACGAGAGATCTGGTAATAATCTGTTTTCAACCATTCTATCATTTTCTTGGCTAGCTAGTAGGTTTTTATTTTATAAATTTGATTGCCTGAAGCTTATATGTTTGTGCTCTTAATTTGTTGCTTCTCTTGATTTCAAGTTCTTCAAACTGTAGGCAACGTCTTGCCCTTAGCCCTTATGCATGTGCCGTGGAGGATGCAATAATAATTAGCGACATGTACATCTCTCGCAACTCGCATTTGGTTCCGCTAACTCAGCCAGAAAAGAAAGATGACGACGATCGGATCAATATCTTCACCACCTCAACAATTATGATGTGTGATAAAATATAACCGACCATGTAACTAAAGAAAACAATATATGGCCAGTGGCCTTGTGCGACAGCGGCACTACTGCCCACCTGCTATTTGCAAAACGTGGGTTCGAGCGAAAGGAGTATGTGTTTCCTTCCATGGGAAAGGAGTTGGCAAAACAAAAGAAAGAAAGAAAGAAAGAAAACAATATATGATGTTGTTTTCACTTTTTTGTTGAAAGAGGTTGTTTTCAGTTTTCACTTTATTTTCTAGTATTTTAAAAAATGTAGCTGCCTTTTTTGGTTTGAATTATTTTTCCTAAAGAATAAATTAAAGAAAGAGAAGGCGACTGCTAAGAAAAATGTTGGATCAAAATTCAAAATCTAAGAGCTCTATAATTGGCATGTCTTTTTCATTTATAGGCGCTCTTACTTTATTGGGATTTGTAAATTTTCGTTTGCTATGCTAATCATTCTATTAGTATAGTGGCCTCGAGGCTGTTCAATTCAAATAATGCTGATCAAACGGGCCAAAGATTTGATCATGAATTTTGCTTTAATTGCTCGGTTATTGATAATGGAGTTTTAAAATGCCTAGTGTTTGATTACCCTTTATTCACTGGGTCCATATGTTCCAATCCATTTGGAAAAAGAGTGATACTTTTCAGTGACGTGGTTCTCTGGAGGATCCATTTGGAAAAGGTGTTGCGCTCATAGATAATAACCATGTGTCAAACTGTCACTCCAGAGAAATGAAACTAATTAGAAGAGCTAAGGTTGCTTCCCCTCCTGGAGGAGGATTAGAGAAATATAGTATGTGCTAAGCCTCGCAGATGATCGCATGTGAGGTGACAACAGCTAGATTATATCTTTTAATCCCAAAAAACTAGCAAGATTGTTTCCTTTAATTTTTCTGGTAGTGGGGAACAAATGGAATCGAGACAAATTGTAATTATAATTATATAATTCATATTGTTTTTCCCACATATCTTGCTTTATGTGCGAGTACGCCGCACTAATTCATATCTTGCTTAACATATATATGCCTCTGCACAATGGACCCATTGGCGAATGCCATTTTACGTATAATTATATTTAGCAAATCATAAACTCTGTCCCATTTAGATTGTATCCAATTTAATAACCATAGAATAATCAAATTGATTTAATTTGCTTGCGATGATCGTTTGGAAAATCTATTGTTTTGTACTCATTCTATCTAAAAGCGCAGATTGATGGTTTTCAAACGTTAAACCAATGTTTTGTGAAATGGCTGTAGATCATGTGCTGTCAAAGATGATCAATAAGGATACAGGCTTAGCAGAAGACTTTAGAAGTTTCTAAATAGCAGGCATTAATAATGCGTTCTATGAGGATTAATTAGAATTGATTATTGTACTACTTGATATGAGGTGATTAATTAATATGGAACAAATCTTGCATTGGATTGAGCCAGGTGTTGGGGATTGAGACTTGCGCTGATTCTTCAATTACCTTTCCTATGGAGCATATTAAAAATTCAAGCCACTCCTCTATTATCCGTGACAGAATCGTGGGCAAAGACACTACAATGAGCGTTAAATTGGAAAATAAATAAATAATATCTTTACTTAGATTTTTAAGGCTTGATTTTATATATTTCATTTATTGATATTTTTTAAGGGGCTAAATATTAAAAAATGTATGATATTTTCAGTGTTTTAAGATGTAATCCTTACCTTTTTCTTCTCAAAAGTGCCCATAATAAATTAGTCATTTTTTATTTATTTTAGAGTGAACACCCTATTAAATATGAATAAATATTAAATATAGAAAGATAATATTAATTTAAAGATAAATAACTTTTATTGAGGGTGAGATTTTGTTAAAAATGCTTTATATTTTTTAATAGAGAGACTATCTTTTATTTTATCATACATCTTTTATTAAGTCTAGTTTACTTTAGGATTAAGAGATATTTTTGCTCTTTAACTATTCGTTCATGAGCATCTCACATCATAAATTTTTATATGGTGTAATTTTTCCTTTAACATTTAAAAATAATGTCTTAATCAACCTAACACTAAAAAAGTTAACTTTAGTTATTAATTAATTTAAAAAATTGCAAAAAATGACCCCAAATTAATATTTATTAAATCCCCAAATTACATGTAAGTAACAAGATTCAAATATTATTTTTTACCTCACGTAAAAGGCCAAAATATAATTTTGATCTATCATTATTTTAGAGATTTAATTGATATTAATTTTTTTTAAAGTACTTATTTACAATTTTATGAACTTTTTTATGTAATTTTTTTGATTAACTAACAATAAGTTAATCTTTTTAATAATAAAGTAATCAGTATACTATTCTCAAATGTTGTAAGAGACTTGCATACCCAAAAAAAAAGGTTAAAAGACAAAAATAAACTTTAATTTTTTAATTTAACATGTATAACTTGTCATATTTATTGAAATGAACTAATTAACTCTCGCTAAGCTGAGAGTTAAAAAGCATGTTTGTTGATATTGAAAAGGAGTGGCACCCGTGGGAGGGGAGCCTCTTCATTTTTTACCCCTCATTTGTTTTCTATTTTCTCAATCTTCATCATTTAAATCATTTTATTAAATAATTTTTTTAATTACAGAATTCAGGAAGGGTGAGAATTGGGAAAATGGAGAGAAAAAGACAAGGGAAAAAAAGGGGAGACGACTAGATATGACAAAATGACAGGTTCGGTGCTGCCATTTTGCTTCAAATTGAAAAAGTATACTTTGTCAATAGTCTATTGTCTATCGTGTCCTTCATCAAAGAAAAAAAAGAAAAAAAGGCTCTAGTCTGATTAGATTGAGGACCAATAGTGATACTGATGTAACGAAGTAGAGTTATCTTGAAGGAAAACAAATAGGTAAGAGGATAAGATAACCCGATCTCTCTGCTTCCCTAGCTAGCAGAAAAGGGAAGCCAAGGTGAAATGGGAAGTTCCTCCTGCACCAGAAACGAAACACTTGAGATGTTCCAAGTGGGACCTTGCGAGAACGCTTACCAAATGGGTTTCTTGATTGGCCAGAGATTCTGCCAACAGATAAGGAATAGGGTCGCTAATGATCTCATTCTTCAAAATCAGCTCCTGCCCTTTGCTCAAACCCCTCACTCACACTCTCTTCTTCAATCTCTCTTCCATAATAATCGGTCCAAATTCCCGAGTTACTGGGACGAGCTTCTGGGAACTGCACAAGGAAGCGGTGTTCCTTTTCTTCATGTAAGTTTCACCTTCCTGTCTTTAGCTTCCGGCTCTAGCAAATGCCACTCTGACTCACAATCTGTTTTACTTCAGATACTACTCATTAACTTCAGGAAGGAGATTCTGGCTTTTGTTCCGAAAGGAGCTGATAAAAGTTCAGATGTGGATCCCACCGATGACTGCTCCGATGTTCTTGTCGTCAGCGAAACTGTGGCCATTGCAGCCCACAATGAGGACGCCAATGTTTCATTACTCGGCCATACGTAAGCTTAGCTACATGCTGCTCATCGATAGCTTCGAAATGTGAATGGAACGGCTTTACTTTACTCACTAGCAAGTTTTCCCTGTGGACTCGCAGCTACTTGATCAGAGGAATCCTGCCAAATGGAATATTCTTTGTAGCTTGCACATATGCTGGAGAGCTTCCAAGCTGTGCCTTTGGGTTCAATAGCCATGGACTGGTAAAAATTTTCATGCAGTAAGATTAAATTTACCAAATTAGGATCTGACTTCTCATTAATGATATTTCTATACCTGAATCAAGCCATAAATAGAGCGTAACTTGATAGATGTTCCTCAGGTATTCACACTGAATTCAGTACCTCCGATGGAAGATGAGGTCGTGGTTGGTGGCATTGGCCGCAACTTTGTTTCTCGGGACATTCTTGAAGCTACAAGCATAGATGATGCAATGAATGTTAGAAATGTTGCTTCTTTCTCTCGTTATAAATTCTTGATATTTGATGAAATCGATGTTTTCATACTGTCCCCTTGTTTCATCAGAGAATCCGGTCATCAGATGTTTCGGTGGGGCATAGTTATAACCTGATTGAAGTAAGCACGCGTAGGATTCTAAACGTTGAAACTGCATCTAGGAAGCGGGTTTCAGTCCATGAAGTTGGCAAAACACCATTCTTCCATGCAAACATGTATCTTCATCTGCAAATCAATCAGGCAAGTGAAATAAAAAATCCTGTTCTCCATCTTTGTACATGCCACACCAAGTATCTATAAATTTTACACTCAGCCGTGTATCACCGCAAGCGACATGTCTCAATGCTTCGGCTATAATTCTTATTCAAAGAAGTTTAAGATACTGGTACATGCTGATTAAACCTAAAAGCCCATAAAGAGATGAATCCACTAAACGTCAAGCTTTACTTTGAAGGTACAAGATGAGAACTCAATCAGCAGACAGCAGCGAGCAGCTGTCCTAGCAAAAAAATCAAAGGAGGACTTCTTGTCACTTCTTGGAGACACAGAGGACAGAAAATACCCCATCTACATGACAGGTAAGAAGGAGATATCTTATATTTCTATTCTTCAATCTTCCCTTGATTGGTATCCTTTTGCCCTACTCTCAGGTCCATTACTTCACACGCTCTGTACTGCCGTCATAGATTTGGACGAACAAACACTATCAATACTTTCAGGGAATCCGAGGAAAGGAAATGTTTCACATGTATTCTCCATCTCCCAAACGAGCTCAAACTGATAACGAGCTACTTTTATGGGTTCATATCATCTTGAGCCATGAAGATGTCGTAAAAATGTACAAGAGTGGGGTGAATTGGTCCAAGTTTAGGAATAATATCACTAAATATATTGAAAGTGAAGGAGAGAAGCTTTACATGCGTATTTATCCTAATTCAGTTTTAACTACTTGAAGTTATATCTAGCCTTCAAATCACACTTGAGACTTTCTTCACTTTATCAAAATTACTTCGAGCTCTTCATTGTCTTAGTCAATATTTTCAAAATCAAATTGGATATTGAATTGGAAAGGTCAATGATTCACAATTTACATGGTTGAATCTGTGAGGTAATAATTAAATAAAAATAATATTATATATATATAATAAATACAAGAAAAGAATTTATAGTATGTTAATAAAATAATATAATATAACTGTACATTAATAATATTATAAATTATAATTTTATAACTTATCAAATATAGATGAATCTTGATTAAATTAAATATGAGTTGACTCAAAAATATATAATTATCAACATTTTTATAAAAAAATAGTCTCAAATCATATTTTGTACATGTCAATTATTCAAAAATAAAGTTAGATTTTTGTACAATTTAATTTTTATTTTTTAAAATTTTTAAGTTTTTTTAATATTATGTTTAAAACCGTTCCCCCCCCTTTTTTTTAAAACCACTTTGGTTTCTTGTTCAATAATGGCTCAACTTCGATATAATCTGGCTCCATCATGAAATTGATTTTTTGATCCAATTGAACTGTTAGCGGTTACAGCTGACAGTTTGAATGTTCAATTTGATTTGATTTTTAAATCATTGGTCTCAATATAAACCAAACTTCAAGTTTGAATTACTCCCCATTGTAAAGATAATATGATAACCCACTTAAGTTTCCATAACTTAAGTCCTCTATTTCAAGTATGAAAATTTGAGATAATTAGAGTATGTTCAAGAATGAACAACTCTTATCACAAACTCTCTCTAACAATCAGTGAAACTCAAATAATAAATATGATTATAGAGGGTAGGTAAGAAATTGAATGTTTAAGATTGTTCAATAACTCTTTTATATTTATCTTTATAAATGTGCCTATTTATAATTGAAGATGATTAATAACCCGTTAGACATATTTCACAAGCCGTTAGATTCTTCATCTAAGTTTATCTACAAATAAGGCAATTGCACAGTGCTTTAAAGAAAAGTTGAGTACTCACAGTAAGTAAGAAAACAACGGTTATATTCATTTAGTATTCTGACAAAATGTAGGTAAGTTAATATTAGTAGCGTTAAATGCAATATTGATACAAAGAAAAGTGTAAGAATTGATAAATGTTTAATCCCATCTAAGATTGTGCTTGTAAGACTTCTAGATAGGCAAACAAGTTAATCACAACACTTAATATGAGAAAGGAATAAGAAACAAGTGAGACTTGAAGCTCACAGTTTTGGAACGCAAATCAGAGCACAAATCTTTATATTTGTATTGGTATAAACATTTATTGTACTGGTATAAGCAAGAATATTCTAAGTGCTAAAGTTAATGTATGGGTATAAATGAATTACATCGGAATAGCTTTTTATAAAAGACAATGATCAGAAATACACTATACCAAAATAAATGAAGTCTGTATTCCAATAAGAGAGGTTTGTACCCGAACAGGCATGTGTACCGGAATAACGGACAATATGGGTATAATGTGAAATATAAGGAAACAAGTGCCACTATATTGGTATGAGTTAAGTTTTAAGGGAACAAAGACCACTGTATCAATATAAAGAGTGTTAGTATTAGTATAAATGATAATACAAGTAATAGGGAGATAGTATTAATATAAATGAATTTCTAAGGAAACAAGGGAACACTATATCGGCATAAACAAGAAGTATAGGTATAAAAATCCCTCCAGGAGTTTTATACAATAGAGAATGTTCAGTGTCTCGGAAGCAAGCTCACAACTATGAGAAACAACTGAACAACTTCTTAGATAACAAGGTATGAAACAAAATAAGCTCAAAAAAGGTTTTGAAAAAAAATCAAATACTCAATTTAAAGAAAATCTTATAGAAACAGAGGTTAGAATTTTAGGAGATTTACACTTACATCGGTACAAGCAAAATCATAAGGGTATAAGGACGTAAAAGAATGAGAAATCACAGTTTAACGCATAAGTCTAATTACCCTTTAAATTCCTTAATTGCCATAACATTTCTCTATTAAACAAAATCTTCTCTATTTTATAATAATTAAAACTAAGGTTGAACATATATTAGCTTTTTATATGTTAAACGAATCATTAACGTTCCATTGGTATCGTATTTTAAAGGACTGTTTAGTTCAGCTCCTAATATGCCATTAATTTAGTAACTGTATTGTTGATAACAGCCCCCTTAAATTATAAAAGCTACGAGTACCTCATCTACACGACGCGTGTGCTGTCGTGAAACGCGATTAGCATATTGCCTCGTCTTACAATACTTGAAACCACGTATAGCTATGAAAATAGTAAACATATATTGAGCTAACACGCAAGACATGACAAGTCAAGCCTAAACTTCTCCCTACCAAAATTATCAATCAGTCAATTGCCGAATAGGAGAGGGATAGCCATCCAGAAAACACTACGTATACAAGAACAATATCCGTGGCTTCTGGAGACGAGTACATTTCAAATGAAGAGTTTTGGGCCTATGTGGAACATAGATGATAGTATTTTATAGAACCTCAACTCAATTCTTCTGATCGTTTCTATTGTACATTTTATAATATCGAAGTTAGTGAACAAATACATTCCCTATCCATCGGTTGATGAGTACATTTGTGTCATGTTGGTCTCAATTATCAAAATGGATTTATCGGTTTGCCGCAGATTAGATTTGCTTCGAATCAATTTCAGGAAGGAAAAAAACACCAAGTTTCAAGTTGCATTTCAGATACAGTAGATTGCACATTTTTCCTTGTTCTTTAAAGTTGATCTGATTCTTCCAGCTATCTGACAACATCTATACTAGTATATTGACTAAATCCACGACACAAAGTTACAGATACAGTATGAACACAGCAAAACTCTCGAGCTGAAAGGAAGAGGCAGAGGTGAATTAAGTAATACCCAAAAGATTATAAATTTATCAGCGAACTCAGAACTTACCAGAACTCTCCAACTCAATTCCTCATGCAATCACAATTCACATTGCTTTAAAGGGGAACCCCCTTCAAGGCTTTCAAACGCGACCGTTGTCCCTTGGACCTTGCTTCAAGAAGCTTCGCTTTCAATGTATTCTCCTTTAAACCTGGAGGCACTTTCGAAGACTCGGTGATTTCAGCGCTTTGCGATGGAAGTCTTGCCATCCACTGCCGCACAGGACTTGCTTGATTCCTCCATCCAGCGTTACTGCAGGAAGCCTCCCCACAACTAACCTCAGCATGAATGTCTCCCCCGTCTGATGCCAAAAGTTGGCTTCTGATGAGATTGTCGATAATGTGATTTTTACTGGAGCTTTGCAATTCAAGGGGGCTATTCTTTCTGTCAAAGTTGTTACTTTCTTCCCTTGCTTCGCTCTGTTCAAAATTCTCAGCTATACTTCCTTCAACTGCCCTTGTATCTGTAGTCTTCTCATGTTCTGCTTCCGCATCAATTGATTGAGATTTCTTGTTAGAGTTACTTGACATGGCCCAAGCCATCTGTTCTTCAAGCTTTACTTGCAAGCTTGAAGAACTATGATTTTTTATCCTTTCACGACTTACTGGCTTTTTCCTTGTTTGCTTGGCTTTTATTGTCTCATCAACGGTAGGGTCTACAATTTCGTCTTCATGCACTGCAGATCCCCTGTTTCTGGGCTTGTTCAACTCAAAACAGTTTGAATCGCTGCCCACAGAATCATCATCGCCCACCTCTTGTGGTGGTGCACTCACAGCATCATGCAGGGGTACAGATTCCAGTGAATTCCTGCGATCTCTTGCTACCAGATTTTCTGTACTCCTGTTATTGTGTTTAGCTTTAAGGAAGGTCTCTATTTCAAGGCTTAATTTATCCACAATTGACTTCTTGTCCGCAAAACCAGTCTGGGCTGCATCTAATTGCATCTGCATCCGTTCATCTAGCCATGATTCAGATATGTGGAGAATTAAATTATCGCGATCAGCCCTTTCAGCCCAATCCTTGTCAGATTTCTGTTTTAGAGCATGCACTTCTTGTTCATATTCTTTGATTCCTCTAGAAAACTCATCACAGAGGTCCTCCAATAACGCCCTTGTTTTTCTCTCTCTTTCCAACTCTTTCAGAGCATTAGTAAGAGAGGACTTCACCTCAGACAGCTCTCGAGCTAACTTCCTGTGCAGGCTCTCTGACCGTTTTCTCAGTTTTCTTTCATCCTCCAGTTCATCTCTCACAGATTGAACAGCAGCATGTAGTCGATCCTGTTCCTTGCTCTTTCTAACCAGTTTATCTTCCGCAATTTGCTTCATCAGTCCATCAATCTCATGTCGATCTGCTTGCCGATCTCGATGCAACTCTTTGATTCTGAGACGTGCATGATCCAGCTCAGTTTTAAGAGCTTTTATAAGAGAAACATTAGATGCATGCTGCTCTTCCAAGCTCCAGATTCTGTTTAACACTTTAAGGAGTTCGGTGGATGTTTTGAGACTATAATGTTGCTCCCCAACCCTTCCCTTAAATTCTAGGGAGCTCGTAGGAGTAACTGCAGGATTATAAGGCGCCATCTGCAAGAAAAATGGCAGCAACAAAATGCAATATTTATTGCAGTAAAAAATCAACCATCATCATCAAGTTATGAAAGCATGTTCAGTGTGGATTTTTAAATGTTAAAAAGCATGTTATTCTATAAGCAAAAACTGGACAAAATGCACTCACCGATATCAAAATAAAATCTTTAACAAGTTTCCTCATTGATTTAAAGCAGATACGTGGTACCATTATCATTAAAAAAAAAAAAGGTCAAAAGTCACAGAATTTACTGACACGTGTCACGTTTATTTATAATTTATAATTCAACAAAACAATATTAGAGGAGATTGTGGTAAACATCCTGAATCCTTATCAGTATTTTACACGGCAGTTTTACTTTTAACAATCAGTCCGTCAGCATTATAGAAGAACACTTAAAGGAAAGTTAACGAATGCTTACCTCCATGGAACTGCCATAACTTGCCGGAGATATGGGCTGCAATGCGTGATTATTTCTTTCAATTGCTCGGTGATGTTGCATCAGAGATGCTGCAACATGCCTCCTCAAACTGCTCGCACTAGCTGGCTGATGGGAAAACATCGAAACATCAGTTGAAGAATAACTTTACAGGTATTTGCATTTTTGAATGGTTGAAACGGTCAATGCAGTGCAAGCTCAATTCCGTACGCAAGATTCCGTAAGCTCAATGCAGTTAGACACTTCTGAGTAGTAACGATACTAGGTCAAGATTTTCAGTAATTACAGCCAAGTAATCATCAGTTGATCTTCAAGAAAGACTGGCTACTTCCTTGATAAACATTTTTTATGTCGAAATAATGCAATGTATCAGCCTTTAGTGTTAACTACAACATTATACTTGACTAAGAAATTCCCCACCAATTTAAGGATTTGAGACTTGACTAGATCAGCTAACAGGAAAAAAAACACTAAACAGCATTAAATTCCAAGACAAAAATCGGCTCAGTTTCGAGGCCAATCTCAATGAATATAATATTAGCGGACAGGGAAAACCTTGCCATGCCTTGAACAGGCAAATACTTGAGGAAACAACACTTCAGCATCAATCAAAAAGAAAAATATGTCCCAAAAAAGTCCATGGAGATTTAAAAAAGAATCCGAAATCAGGGAGATGCATGAAATCAATATACAGATTTATCCACTGGCAACTGGGGTCCAAGACAAGGTCGGAGCATGTAGGAAGAGACTAGACCAATCCGGTCCAAAACAACAGAAACAAAAATCAGAGATAAGTGTATAAACCCAGAAAATGAAAATAAAGGAATCAAGGAGAGAGAAGGCGTGCCTGATCAGGGGAACTGGGAGAAGCATCAGGCAACAAGGAGGAGGAAAGGTGAGGAGGGTTGTCCTTGTGGAGATGATAGTGGTGATGGCGGCGAAGTCTGGGATCAGACGAGGCGCCATTGTTGGAAGGGCGATGCATAGGGAAGTAGTGGTGGAACTCCCAGAGAGCAGCGGCAAGCTTTCTGGCGGTGACGGGGGGAGGCAGAGGCTGGAGATGGAGACGGAGACGGTGATCCTTAATGATGGTATCGTGCGAAAACCAAAGTCTCCAAGAGAGCACTGGAGTAGCAGGGCCCGCTCTTTTCCCTGCTAATACCCCTCTCCTCAACTTTTCCCCTAAATTGTCCTCCTTTTCCGCTTCCGCTTCCCTACCTTTTTCCGCCTTTTTCATCTCTCTCTCTTCCAGTCACACACTTTCTATATTTTTCAAGTTCATTAACTCACTCTCACTCTCACTCTCTCTCTCTCTCTTATCATCAGCTTGTGTTTTCGATTTCTTTTTTTCTTTTTTTCTCTTTTCCTCTTTCCCTGTGGCCTGTGGGTGAGTGAAATGAAATTTCCGGTGCTGCGAGCGTATCCTATGAATTTTCACTGTTTTCTTTTGCTCGTCTCGTCCGAGTCCTTGATCGCCGTGGCCATGGCTTCACGACAACAGCTTTGATCGCCTCTCTGTCTCGCACTAACTGTGTTAGTGTGTTTCCAAGTTTTATCCCCAAAATATCATATGCTATTCACCAAAAATTATTGCGTTTAATTTTATTAAAGTTACTTTAATAAATTACGCTAAACCTTTTTTTTTTATATTTTAAATATTTTTATGCATAGGATCAAATCAAATACTTCCCTCCACAGCCCAAAAAAATATTTTTAATTAAATTTTATACCACAATAAAATAATTTTTTATTTTTAAACTAATTCAATATTTTTATATTTATTTTTATTTAAGATAGTATTTTATTTTTAAAAAAATATAAAGTGATTTGTTCAATAAAAATATTTTAAAAAAAAATAATATTTTATAATTAAAAATATATTATATTTTTAAATATTTACCTCTTAAAAAATGTCTTAAATTTTTAATTGAGGGAATATTTCTTTTTGTACAAGAAAAGTTATCTTTTTCTATTATATAAGAGTCTACTTTTATTTATAATGTCAATTTTAAGATTATAAGTTGGGCATATTCGTCGCATTAAATTTTAGGAAAATTGCAATCTTTAATGATCCGTAAATAGTACATATTAAAATAATTTGTATATACTGATTGATTCCTACTGATAATAAGGATAGTTGAATAACCGAAAATTTAAAAAGCATACTCCTTTATTTAAAAATATAAAGTATTTTTAGTTAAATTTTATTTTTAATAAAATAATTATTTATTTTTTAATTAACTCTATCTTTTTATATTCACTTTTATTAAATACCCTACAATAAATATAAAGTCATTATCAATAGAGACACTTTTTTAAAAAATAAGACAATGATTAGACCTCAAAAAATTAAAAATATCTTATATTTTTAAACATTTAACTTTTTAAAATATATTTTATATTTTTGAATGGAGGATTAGTAATGAAGATTATGTAAATTCTCCAAAAGAGCATTTCTACATAATATAAAAAGAATACAAATTGGGGCTTTAAGTTGGTAGAAAAAATCAGGCAATACTGCGATCCAGAGTATGCTCCTATCCACTGATTAAATAAATAACTATCAGAAACGAAATAATCCTTTAATTTTTTTTAAGTCCCTTTTTGTTTTGCACATAAAAAAAGAAGAAGAATAGGAACAAAAAAATACAAAAAGAATAGAATACAATTAAAAAAAAGAGGGATCCCTTTAGGTTCTTTCTTATATCCATATTTATGGATATACAATTTATGTCATAATTCATAAACTAGTGTCTAATTTTTTTACGTAATCGAAAACGACGGGTTATTGAAAATTCTAAAGAAGTATTTTATTGAATTAAAGAATTCAATTATTACTCAATAAATTCAAATTATTAAGGGATGATATCAATTCAGAAGTACCTTTTTGTATTTATTACTATAACAGATAGAATTTAATTGGTCTGATTTAAGACCGTCCAATAAATTTAAATCCTATCTATCCTAAAAATATATCAAGATAAATAACCGGATTCATAGCATGGTATAAGTTTTATTTATAGTTAAAAGGCTGTGTTCGCATCAATTTTATAAAAAGATATCTTATTTTTGAAGTAAAGATTGTTTTTTTTATAAAAAAATAAAAATAAAAATAGGCCTAGTAGGGTTGGGGTAGGAGGCAGGGAATCGAATTTGGTAATTGTGAGCAGCAGCATGGTAAAGATAGGTAGCGTGCCTGCCTATCTTTCTTTGCTTCTTCCTACACTCTGCACGTTCCCATTCTTGCATTTGTAGTTTTGGACTACTAATTTAATTTTTATGCTGATTCTTTTTTCTTTTTTCTTTTTTCTTTTTAAATATTTTATAACCCATTCATTAATTTATAACACATGGCTAGAGCTGAAAATAATAGTTGAACCTGAAGTATCGGGCCTAAAGGCTCTATTTAAATTAGGGTTTAAACTTTAAAAATGAATTTTTTTAAAAATAATCGGGCTTGAGGGTTTGGCCTTGATAAACTATGTAAAAAAGGGCTCGAACTCGGGTAGCCCTTCAAGTCCTGTTATATTATTATTATTATTATTATTATTATTATTATTATTATTATTATTTTCTTTGGTAGAACACATGTTTGAAGCCAATGATCTACTAAATTAGGGTTCAAACTTTAAAAATGAATTTTTTTTAAAATAATCGGGCTTGAGGGTTTGGCCTTGATAAACCATGTAAAAAAGGGCTCGAACTCGGGTAGCCCTTCAAGTCCTGTTATATTATTATTATTATTATTATTATTATTATTTTGATAGAACACATGTTTGAAGCCAATGATCTACTTACCTGATCCTCCACACATTATATTATTATTAATTTTAATTTATTCTAAAATTAATTTAATATAATTTATAAATATCAGTGTATAGTATAAAATTCCTGATATTTTTTATTTTTCTATAATTATTATGTTTGTGTATTATAAAAAATAAATTATTTTTTAATCAAGATTTAAATTTTATTACTAGATTTTTAAATGTATGTTGTTTAATTTTTAAAAAATTATAAAAAAATTATTTTTTTTAATTTTAAAATATTTTAATTAATGTATAATGTTTAATTTTATTTTTATTTTTTTTAAAAAAGGACTTGCAAGCCTGGGCTTGAGAAATGAGGTTCAAAATAGAGAATCAAGTTTTAAGGCTCAGGTCCTTAAGGGCTAAGCTTTTAAAAGTAGAATCTGTCGGTATTCCCAACTCTATAAATAGCAAACAATGGGGGAAAAAAATCAGAAGGAAGAACATATGGCAGACAATGAAAGAGATCCAAATAATTGGAACCCATTAATGAGAGAAGGCCCATTAGGATGAGGGTGCCAGTGGGCCGAGGGCGGGTCTCGGTCCTTATTCTTTTGGATTAAGCCCATTTTTAACTTTGGTTTCGGCAACACACGAGGATAAACGGGGATAAAGATGGACAGGGCCCAGTGGGATCCAACGAGCTCTCGAGCAACAAATGCAACAGAAATTCTTTTCTCTATTTTCTCCTTCAATTCACAGCCGTTTAAGAACAAAAGATCAGGTTCTGATCTGCGCAGATGCAAAAGACATTGGAAAAATTATATTAAAATTTTACAAAAATAAATTAATTACTGTAAAGTTTATTGATGATTGAACTAAACTACATTAAATGAATTTTACAATAATTAATTTTTTTATGAGGGATCTAATTGTAATTTTTTCAAAAACATTTTTAGAAGAGATGTTCTCAATTAGATCCAACAATATTCAAATCTCACTCAGTCAAGTAATTATCTATTAAAAAAATAATCTTCTTTATCTTATTTGTTCTTGATTGGAGGCTTTTATTTTCCTTTGCCGAAAGCAATTTTTTTTTCTTTTGTGGAATTTCTCTTCCGTAAAAACAGCCTGCATTGATTTGTTGACGCTGATGTCTAAAAACTTATTTTAATCTTGTAATTCTGTTTATAATTTTATCGTAATGGTGAGATATATATATATATATATATATTACAAAACACGTGCTGCCTTCTGGTCTTGTATTTTAATTATTTATTGCGTTTTACTCCCAAAGGAAAATTGTGATGAAGTTTGCTTTGACTAATTTGATAGCGAATATCTTATTGCCAGTTTGCGACTTCTCTAACAGGTGTCCATTCATATTTTGGTTAAAAAGAAAGGTCTAAAATGATATGCATCTTATTTGTTGAACGAGAGAGTTTAGTTTCGTTTTGAGTTTTTCTTAGTTGTTGTTTCCTGATTTCAGAAAAACAAAAAAAGTCCACGCTTTGAATATTTATTTTGACACGTCGATGTCAAATTACGATTATCAAATTACCATACATGACATTGAAACGTCCAGTTCATGATAAACAATATATATTTGAGTGATCAATATGAACATGAAACTCTGAATTGTGATAGAAGACAGGAATAATACCTCCAGTCCATAATATAAATATTTTCTAGTAATTAATGGCGATTTAAAATATAAATAATTTAGCATATATAAATTTTTTTCACTTTACCCCTTATATTTATAAACCAAAATTATTGTGTAAAGTCATCTCTTACTTATCATGAAATGTTTTGATAATCAAAATTAAGAATAAAAAAAGTCATATATATTTTTATGAAAATAAGGATTTTATAGATATGTAGATTTAAAAAAAAACTGTTTATATTTTGAATCGGAGAGAGGGAATAATATTCAATTCTTTGACTAGATATTGGATAATACAATCTTCTAACTGATTAAATCTTAATTCTTAAACGTAGAAATATTGTAAGTGCATGCAATTTAAAGAGCTTGTGTGAAATTAAGATTTAATCACAATTAATTATAATATATCACAGGTAAGGCAGATAGTTTATCCATGTTTAAATGACTTATCTGTAATTGTATTTTTCAAAAAAAAAATCATGACTAGACAATGCATGAAAAAAATTCTGATTTTTTTTTTTTTTTTGGTTGCTGCTAACATTGAGTCCCGTATAGGGTCTTGGCTCGGGGGTGTCATTTTTTACATCATTTTAATTAACAATCCACTTGATATATAGTCCAATTATTGTTCAATACTTTAAAATGATGTTTGGTTGGAGGGGAGTTGACTTTACAACTTTTCATTTGGTATTTATGCTTCATGGGTGGTTTAGGAAAAAAGAAAAATAAACCTTATAATCTGCTTGTTCTGATTAATTATGCATGGCCACGATTTGAAGTTTAATTGTTTTAAATTGAGTAAAATGCAATGACCTCTCTTTTGTTTTGCTTAAATTATAAATATTTTTCTTCTATTTTAAGAAGTTACAATTTAGTTTAATTGCAACATAGTTAAGAATATTTCTTTAAAGCATCTAAAATATTTAATTTTTTAGCTATAATATTGTCAAAAAAATTTTACCCTTATAATTTAATTGTACACTCTCTTTCTCCCTATTTTTAAAATTTAAATAGTTACGTCAATATTTAGATAAATAATTTTCAATTTTGTGTTAAATTAATAAAATTAAAACAATATAACTTATATTGAGCAATTTATTATATTAAATA